TCATTATCGTCATCATCACAGTAAGGAACAATCTCATTCTCACTGCTGCACTAACCTCATCAACATCATCAGCTCCATCATCATTATATCAATGATATTAACGTTAAGGTACATCTTCGGCATCCCAAATGGTACTGTGTGGATAGGCATTGGACCTACCGAGTCATCTACTCTCTATTGTAGGATGGTTGTCAAAAGTTTGCTTCCTTTTTAACTTTATCATCATCAAAATTGTCATTTTCATCATTGTCATCAATCTATCACTATATATATATATATATATATATATATATATATATATATATATATATATATATCACTTTCATTAAGATTCTTTTTTGTAGATATTCTTTATCATCACTTGCCTTATTAGGCTTCTTAAAATTATCTCAACACCTTAAACGCTGTTATCGTTATTGTGATATCTAAAGTTTTCATCATCGCCTAAATCACCATATCATTATCATCTTGACCAACGTCATCATCTTGACCAACATCATCATCTTGACCAACACCATTATCATCACCACTAATCTTATCATCATCAATCACCAACCTTATCACTATCATCTTCACCAACATCATCAACGACAGCCCAATGGTTCGGTACATTATGGATAATCCTAGCAGTGGTTCTATTCTTTTTAGTGCTAATTGGAGTGATCATAAGTTGGTGTCCAGTTAATCATTTTGAACTTTTAATAATTTAGTAACTAACTAATTAAATAATTAATTTTTTTATTCCATTTTATTCACAAAAATTCATTTAATTTTATTTATTAATCAATTAATTAGAAACAAGGCGTGGAGGCATGACGTTATAAGACTTAGTTCATATCATATAACAACAATATAATAATAATATATTAATAAAATAATATTAATAATAATAATATGATAATAGTTTAATAATAATAATATAATAATTATATAATATCATGTTTCCATGATCTATTCTTTTTGATGTCAGTTTGATTTCTTTGTCTAAAAATTTATTCGTATTTAAATAAAAATTTCTCTTTCGTGCTGCTAGATTGATTATTACAATTTTAATAAAAAAAAACATTTTTGAATAATTTAAAAATGTTTATCATAAAAAAATTTAATGTTGTTGAATGACAAAAATGTTGAAACAAAACAGAAAGTAAAATTTAACTACACTAGAGAGCAAAACAACTCAACCACTGGGACTGCAATCCAGCAGAGTTCTGTGCCGGTCCCAAGTCCGGCTTGCAGGAGCTTGCTATACTGTTTTAAAAACGCTACAAACACGATGGTAAACACAACAGCTAATAATCATACCGGCTCTGTCGTCACCCGGGACAACAAGGACCGCATTGCAGCTTTGGGGACTAAGAGCTACAAAGAAAAGTTTGTTACTGAGTCCGAAAGAGGTGAAATGAAGATAAAATTCACAGTTGGATTTTGGAATGTGAGGTCACTGCGGCAAGCTGGAACATATGCGATGCTGAAAAAGAGCTTGAGAGGTTTAGATATGATGTGGTTGGTTTGTTTGAAGTTAGATGTGGAAGTGGAGAATTGGAGAAAGGAAAACTGTTATGGCCAGGCACAGAAACCGAGCATATTTATGGAGTAAGAATAATTCTTGGAGAAAAAGCAAGAAAAGCATTAATTAAATACAATCCCGTAAATGACAGGTTGATGTATGCCAGATTCAAAGGATATCCAAGAGATATTATTGTGATAGTTGCTTATGCTCCAACTACAAATCATTTGTATGATGAAGTTGAAACGTTCTACAAACAACTGAAACAAACTATGACAACATTACCAAAGAAAGATGTTAAGATCATTGTTGTGGACTGGAATGCTAAAATTGGAAGTGACAATATTGAATTTGAAGAAGTTATGGTTTTTTTTTTGCGATGTCTATGGTTTACCCGACATCGTGTTTTTGAATGTTCAATTTCTAAATTTTCTAAATTCTCCGTTTTAACTAAGTTTTTGCTTATTTTCACTAATAAATCAATAATTAATAATTTACTTTTTTTTGTCAATGTTTTAAAAAAAATTCGCTAAAGTTTTTGTTGCTATAATACTTTTGGCTACTAATTATCGCTCACACCTCAATCAAATGATCCAATACACTCGCCAACAAACAACGGCTTGATTTTCTACCGGATAAATTCGCCATCAAAAGATCGCTAAGAAAAACTTTCTTTCTCAACAAAATTTGGAACCCAGATCATCACCAACGCCTCTCCACTTTTCTTCATTCGCAACATCATTCTACAGCAACAGCAATCTCAACAACATCAACTTCAACTTCAACACCCCCGGGCCAACATCAATCACTACAGATATCTACAACAACCTCTACATCAATACCATCTACCTCAATCGCTACAGCAATTTACAACAATCTACAGCAATCCACAACAACCTCAACTTCAACATCAACACCCCCAGCCCATCTATCTTGCACCAATTCGTCATCAGCAATACCAGTGGTAGTCTCATCAACTCGTAAGAGATGCAACCACCCCAATCGACGCCTCTCACCAAATCATCCCAATCTCATCAACATCAAATTCACCCCGACTTACAACCCCGCCAAAATCATCCTATGTCATCTACCACCCACCATTTATATCTTGAATGTCTTTAGCATTGTCAAGCCACATGCTATTGAGCATTTAAGATGTGACGTATATCATCTACACCCCGACATCATCATCATCACCGAGTCATGGCTTAAGCCAGATCACCCTGATGGTTTGATCGGAATAGATGGCTACACACCCTTCAGAAAAGACCGCCCTGGCAGGCGGCGTGGAGGTGGCGTTGTCATCTATTTGAAGTCATCCATCTCATCTCAAATTCACATCGTTCCACCTAATGCTGTCAATGATACACTGGAAACCCTTTGTCTCAAGTGCATTATTGACAGTGAACCATACATCATCTGTGCCATCTATCATCCTCCTAATCATCCATCATATGAAGTCTCCACCATGATGTGTTACATCGATGAACTCTCTAACACTGCGCTGGGGAGCGACTCAAAACTCATCATTGGGGGTGACTTCAATCAACTCGACCATCATTCCATCCTTCAAACAGGTCTACACCCTATATTCTGGTGTCCCACCCACCAAGGTCTCAACCTTGACAGAATATATGGGATTAATGGAAACCTGGATATCACTTTCACTTACAGGTCGCACGTTTCAACACATTATCTTGAGGTGGTTGCTGCTCCTCCACCTCCACCAACTAACTCAACATCAAGAAACAACACCACTAGAAAAACCATCTCATTTCGCCGACGTCATCCTTCACAGAGTATTGCCTGCTTTCAATATCTCAACAACATCAACTTCAATAATATATTCGACTTCAACATCACCAACACCGACCATTCTTCGCTAGCAATTTCTAACAATAATACAATTAATCTTGATAATAATAAAATTTACCATGTTAATAATAGTAATAGTGATAATAATTGTAACAATATAAATAATATTAACATTAGTGCCAATGATAATAATAATAATAATAACAATATTAACAGTAATACTATCTCAGCTAACTCTATTGCCAATTTTTTGCAACATTGTTTTGATAAATTCTATAAAATCATCAATTAAACTTACAGTAGGTACTACCCAGCATCAAACATCATGCTTAGATCATCAGACCCCCCATTTATCAGCCCATTCATCAAATTTTTACTTTGCCAAAAAAATAAACTCATGAGATTAGGATCCACCCTCAAAGCCGCAGCGATCACCAAATACATCAATAAACTCATTATCAACTTCAATTCAAAAACATTCACTAATAGTAAGCGTGAAAGCGAAGCCATGTGGGAACAAGTTAACAAGATTAGAGGCTCTGAGAAATCACTCAACACATCAACCGTGCAGCATATTGATGCCAACACACTCAACGCCCACTTTGCTTCCATGTCAACCGACCAGTCCTACAAAATTCCACCAACAAAAGCTACTGCAATCAATAGTCATCAACACCAACAATTTACACCATACTCCGTCCTCCACATGCTAACGAAGGCTTGCCCATCCGGTACAGGTCCAGACGGCCTACCAGCATGGTTTCTACAAATCATCGCACCATTCATCTTCAGCACCTTATGTTCACTCTACAATCACTGCTTAATTCACTCATTCATCCCATCACAATGGAAATCCAGCACAATCCATCCAATTCCTAAAACAAAACACCCATCATCACCAATAGATTATCGCCCAATATCTATCACCACCATTCTTTCACGTATTCTAGAAAAATTCATCGTTAGGTCATTCATCTATCCATGTTTTAACCATCCATCCATCAAACCACTATTACAAGACCAGTTCGCATTTCGACCAACAGGCTCATCTACATCCGCTATCATCTCTCTTACTTCCACAATAACATCTTTCCTTAAAAATAATAATTATGTTCATCTTATTGCCCTTGATTTCTCTAAAGCTTTTGACACTCTCAATCACTTCTCACTTTCAAATATGTTAGCTTCTCTTCCATTACCTGACAACATTTACAATATCATAATTAATTTCCTATCTAATAGGAGTCATTCTACTCTTTTTAGCTCTACTCTTTCATCTACTCTACCTATTAACTCTAGCGTAGTTCAAGGTTCTGTCCTTGGCCCATCTACCTTCATCATCAACGCTTCTACTCTCAAAACTTTCCATAGCTCAAATCAAATCATCAAATACGCTGACGACACCTACCTTATCATCCCATCATCTAGCTCAAACACCATCCAATCAGAACTCGACCCATTAACTACATGGTCAAAACGATGCAATCTTTCACTTAATCTCAATAAATCATTTGAACTCATCATTCACAATAGCCGTAAAAAAATAACATTACCTCCTGAACACCCATCAATTACTCGCACAAATCAACTAAAAATATTAGGCATCACATTCACCTCCACACTCAATATAGCACCTCATATCAATTACATCATCACAAAAGGCTTTCAAACATTTCACGCACTCAAAACACTCCGTTCACATGGTCTCAGAGGCATCAAATTATTCGACATCACTCATCATATCACGCATCAAATATGCAGCTCCCTCCTGGTCTGGTTTTGCCACGCAACAACAACTTCAGCAGCTACAATCTCTCATCAAAAAATTAATTCGCTGCAACTACCTACCTGCATCATATCCTACCATCACTCAGATATTCAACACACTCGATTCAAGGCTGTTCAAGAAAATAGAAAATAACAACAACCACGTCATCCATCCTCTACTACCACCAATCAAAACTACAACACACAACCTTCGTCAGCGCAAACATAAATATCAAGTCGCCGCACAATCTACATACCAGGAAAAGACCTTCATCACAAGACACCTCAAAAATATTAGCACTTAAGAAAACTTCATCATTACTGAACTAGTTTTTACTTATTGATCACATCACTTTTATCGATCACCTCACTAACTCACTAAGTCATCATTTAGTCTATTAATAAGTCACCAAATATATTAATAATCATTAAACTTTTTCACACACAGGCCTAGCCTTTATCTATCGATCACCTGACTAACCCACTAAGTCATCATCTAGTCTATCAATTTGCCGTTACTTCATTTTATATTCCATCGTCAATTACTTTTCTTTTATTTGTCTTATTATTATTTATTTTATTCTAACATATTTTATTTTCATGTTTTATCATTTCTCTTCCTCACTTTTTGTATTTATTTTCTCACTTATTTGTTTAATTTTGTTTCACTGCCTTGCATGTTGTTACAGTTTCTGCGTCTGTCAGATCCTGATTTTCAAAGAATAATAATAAAAAAAAATGATATGGCGTAGGAGATAGAAATGATAGAAGGGAAAGGTTACTAGAGTTTGTGAAAGACCAACAATTGTATGTCACAAACACAAAGAAGCGAAACAACAACAAATGTACTTGGGCGTTACCAGACGGAAAAACAATGAACATGATAGATTTAATACTGATAGAATCGAAATGGATAAAATTTGACACCCAATGTAGAGCTTTCCCAAGTGCAAAAATTAGATCAGATCATCGCCTTTTCTTATGCAACGTCACCATGAAGACAAAACAAATAGCTTAAAATGGGAGAAAGCATTAGGAAAGTGAGATACAACACAAAAATGATGAAGCAGATGGAGAATGTAAAAAATAAAATCTAACATAAATTGGACTCAGCAGCCAATTACAAGTTAGCAGCTTAGAAAAAATTCTCAAAGCAGCAGGTGAAAGTTGTAAAATCAAAATGAACAAAATAAAACCGTGGATAAGCGATGAAACATGGAACCTTGTAGAAGAAAAAAGAAGTTTGAAAATGACAAAAAGACAGAGAGAAGAAAATAAGATGAAATACAAAGAAGTCTGTCAAAAAATAAAAAAAGAGTGCTAGAGTAGATAAAAAGAGATGGATTAATGGTAAATGTGAAAAGATAGAGACGATGATTGGGCAAAACAAGACAAGAGAGGCGTACCAGTTGGTTAAACAGTTAAAAGGAAAACAGAAAAATAAGTCAAAGATTATTAAAGATAAAACCGGAAAAATCCTAACAGAAAGTAAATAGATTATGGATAGATAGACTGAATATTTTAAAGACTTATTCACAGACAAAAACACATACAAAAAAGAAACGCTTGAAATTTTGAAAAGCAGAAAAATAATCAATGAAGAAGAAAATCAAATAACGAGAGAAGAAATTACAAGAGCAATTAGTAAAATGAAGAACAACAAAAATACAGGGAAGGATGGTATTCCGATAGAACTGATAAGAGCAGGAGGACAAGTCGTGTATAAAGAAATTTACACATTCTGTCAAGAAATTTGAGAAAGCGGAAAGTGGCCAGAAGAATGGTGCAAGTCAGTTCTGGTTATGCTGCCAAAAAAGGGAGACCAAAAAGACTGTAATAACTACAGATCAATTGCACTAATTTTGAAAAGAACGACTGGAAAAGGTCATAGAGCAACATTTGCATGAAGAACAAGCAGGCTTCAGAAAGGACATAAGCACGATCTGATGTTGAGACTGCTGATGGAGAGTGCAAAAAGTAGCGGTCAGACAATTTACCATTGCTTTGTTGATTTTAGAGAGCGTTTGATTCTGTCTGGCATAAAGGTTTGTAGGTAACATTAGAAAGTCTGGGGACATCAGTAAAGCTGGTCAAAGTACTGAAAAGATTTTATGAAAAATCAAAAATGTCGGGAATAATAGGTACAGAACTTGTGTATTGGATAAAGGCAGACATTGGAAGGAGACAGGGCGATCCAATATCACCAATACTATTCATAGCACTGCTAGAAAGAGCAATAGAAAAAATGGAAAATTCGGAATTGGGTGGAATTGACATAGGAAGGAGAACTGTCAAGAATCTCAGGTTTGCAGACGATATAGACTTTCTAGCTTTTAGTGAAAAAGGTCTACAGAAACTAGTTTAACAAACACATGTTGGTGGAAAAGATCACGGGTTGCATATTAAAAAAGACAAAACGAAGGTGATGATTACGGGAAAAGGCGGAAACAAGGCGGAATTTCAGATAGAATCAGAAAAACTCGAACAAGTAGACCGGTTTGTGTATCTTGGCAGTCTTATAAACTGTGACAACAACTGCACCAAAGAAATTGACAGAAGAGTAGCAATAGCCCGTGGAATGTTCGCATCATTGAAGCTAATATGGAAAAGTGGAAATATATCTATGAAAACAAAGTTGAGAATGATAGAATCTTGCGTTTTTCCAAGCTTGCTCTATGCATGTGAGACATGGACAATAAAGAAAAGAGACAAAGACAGATTGGAAGCATTTGAGATGAAGTGTTACCGAAATTTGTTGGGAATCAGTTGGAGGCGGAAAGTAAAGAATGAAACTATCAAAAATCAGCTTGGAAGACAGAAAAGTGTATATGACAAAGTCAGAGAAAAAATTTTTGGACACATTTGTAGAATGAGAGAAGACAGATTGATTAAGAAGGTACTAACGAGGAAAAGAGATTGGAAGAAAAAAATTAGTAGACCTGCAAAAAAATGGATAGATGACATTAATGAATGGACTTTTGTTGGTATTCTGAATTCAATAAAACTGGCCTAGGATAGAAAAGTTTTTTGGAAAAAAAAAGGAAAATATAAAAGTGAAAAGTGCTTAGATGTACACCATCCCTTGACGGTCTCTTGATGGACAAAAAAGGATCATTGATTGATTGATTGATTGAGGGAGCAAACCCTAAATGTAGATAATATAATAAATGTTTCATTTACAAATTAAGGGTAAAGTTGATAGAAAGTGTTACCATTCATTTGTATACTTTAACTCTTTTATAACAATTATTAAAATATTTAAACAATTGATTTTAATTAATTTATAATGATTAATATTTTATTTTTTAACCTTTTTCAGAATTATTTGGAGCGCGTTTGTCATCTAAAATCAAAAACAAAGATGATGAGGAATAGAAGGCCAAAAGCACAGGCGCTTGACGAAATAGCGAATTTGGGATGTAATTTTTTTAAACTTATTACTAAATAAAAATTTCTGTCAATGTCAACTACAGTTTCCAGTTTCCATTATTTATTGTTTAGTTAATTATAGTTAATTTTATTATTCAGTTTTACAAATTACAAAAGTTTTCACTTTGAAAATGTTTCACTTCTGTGTGAAACTTTTTTTATAATTTTGATGCACTCTTAAATTTTTAAAATAACTGAACAATCCCCAAAAAAGTTTATATCAATTTCAGAAATAAAATTCAAAATATTCATATATGAAATCATTTTTGCTTGTTGAATCTTTACTTTAATACAGAACCGGGTGTCTCACAAAATGTTCACACAGTTCAAAAAATTATTTAAAAAATATGTTCATCACAACTTTGTTATTTAAACAAATCTGAAAATATTCAAATGACATTTTATAATTTGTTTGTATGTGTGTGTGTGTGTGTGCGTGTGTGTGTGTGTGTGCGTGTGTGTGTGTGTTGGGATAAGTGTGGAACTAGTGATTCATTCGTGGTAAATTTGATAAATGTTTTCAATATTAATTTTATTAATACCATTGAGAATGTTTTTATTGTATTTTAATTTCCACTGACAAATGGGACTTACAACGAATATTTATTTTTACTCAAAACATATAAGTCATTTGAAATCAGATTTAGTTGTACTGCCATTTAAAAAGCAGGTGCTGCCATAAGAATTATTGTTGTTTTAAAATAACTTCTCATTTTATCAGTTTTACGTTGAAATATTCGAATTTCAACACTACTGAAATTTTTTTTGAATAAACCGTGTTTTCAATAATGCAAATCGTTCATCTATTTTAAAAAGTTATTAGCTCCGATGATCAAGAGAACATTTTTTGTCACGTTTATAATTTTAATTTAATGATATTTTCAGTAAAAATAACTGAGTTGATTATAAGCGAAAATAATAAATATTAAAATATATCTTGCCGCAAAGCACTCTGTTGATCGTAGAATAATTTTTACATTGTTACGACATTATTCGCGTTCATCAAACAAAATTTTAAACTTCTGTAGTACGCCAATTTCTCTAAAAAAATTAAAAAAGAATGAAACTAAACCAGCAAAAAAAATTTGAAAATTGATTTTGCTAACGTCCCAAGTGATACTATCGGCACTGGAAAACCTAAATGTTTTTCCAAATGAACTTGTCCTCGATAACGACGAAGGCAAGTAAGTAGAAGAAGGATGTTAAGAAGGAAGAAGAAAAAAAGGTGCTGAAAAATACCATAAGAGGCCGTAGAGATGAAGAGGATGTCTAAGTAATTGCTCATCCATCCAGCCACTATCGACGTATGCTTGTTATGCATAAGTTAACTTTAAAAGTTGAACAATCGTCAGCAACACATTGCATATATTTATTTATCTACATACATCTGCATGTGTTTAATTATATTTATTTGTTTATCAACTGTATGAGTTTATTCAATAAAAAATATTCCCTTGAGTTATTTCTTGAACGTGTTTCGAGAGAAATTAGAAATTAGAAACATTTGAATCACGGTCAACAACAAATAACATTTGTGAAGTCCTTGTTTTATTTGTTCAATATCACCACATTCCAACTATAACAAAGTGTTATAGACCCAGAGATGCATACATGCCTAATTACAAAAGCATACAAAAAACGCTGTTTGTTTTTTTAAAATGAAAGTTTTTACACACTTGCCACGTGTATATAAATTTCATTCGTATATATATATAAATTGTGCTTTGTTAAATACTAACGGAAAGGATAATAATAATAAAAATGGTATACATAAAATGTGTATTTAATAAATAAAAGAAATATAGACATACTTTCTTCGGTGATTGCGGGACGGAAAGGATGGATGAACGAACGAACGAATAAAGAAACAAATCAATCAACCAACCAACCAACCAATAAACCAGCCAAATATGTGCATTTGTTTATTCAAATGTGAGCATTAGATTTACACTTCATTTTTCACGAACTCACATGCGAGAAACATATGCTGCCAAAAATTAACATGAAACTCATTTGCATTTGCACTCATCAAAAAGTTTAAAAAAAATTTTTTCAATGTTTTTTTTATTATTTTTAAAAAAATCAGAATTCGATATAGGCGATTGTTTAAAATGAAATCAAAAAAATGAGTAACTAAGAAGAAACTGTTTAAGAACGAATTGTATGGAAAATAAAATTAATTAAAATTAATTTAAAAAGGCAAATAAAATAATTTATTAATAGACTAGTCAATGGCTAAGTATGTCAGTTAAGTGATCGATAAGAAAAAATAAATTGAGTGAAATGATGTTGAATGAGGAATAGAATGTTATCAAAGTTATATGTGCGTCCGATCATTCGTTTTTAGAGCTGCTCAGTAGGTATATTATGTTTAGCCGAAACTGAATTTTTGGCCACGTTAAATCTGTGAAATCCACTGTACACAGCGTACGTGCGCGTGTACGTTTTTGTTTGTGTGTGTGTGTTTGTGTGTGTGTGTGTGTGTGTGTGTGTGTGTGTGTGTGTGTGTGGGAGAGAAACATAGTGAGATATTCAAATTTTTTAAATTTGAATATGATGAATATGACGAGGCATATATGCAAATGGTTTCAGGTTTTATAAATGTTACAAATCTGCGGGTAGACACTGCCATTCGAGAGCTCATCGTCGTCCAGGTAATCCTAAACAACTTTATTTATTAAAATGTTATCAAGTTTGTTAGAGTTTTTTTTAAGTAATCGTCTTATTTAATTTTAATTCAGGTTATTGTTGTATTTTTTAACCACCAGAAAAGCGAAATATTCTATTAAATTTATGAAAAATTTGCAATGAATGACGGTGTTCAAATATTTAAATTATCCGTTCTTGGCAACAATAATAACCTTTTTAATGAATACATAATAAATTTTATATAAGAAATTTTCGTTCATTTACATCGCTTTAGAAATAAAAATCAAAAACTGAAAGTTGATCCTAAAAATTTAACAATTAATCTTTCAGGTTAAAAAACAAACGCCAACAGCAGAAACAACATACACTTACAAATTTCAACAAGATGCTATTTACAAAGAGTGAATCTTTTTTCTTTTCCTTTTATTTCGCTATCCTCATCATCTCCTCCATCATTTCTGCAAACTCCGCCAATACTCTGCCTGACGACAAAGTTGTATTAAATAAACAAGACCTTGATGATCTCTTCGAGGCAATTAATTACTTAAAAGCAAAGGAGGTAGAAAAAGACGTTGAAAAGGAGATAATAATATTAGAAAAAAAGTTGGAAAAACTAAGAAAGGATACGAAATAAAAGACTCAGGGTATAATATCTATGATGTATATGGTAATTGCCGTATGTTTACAATTAATTATTTTTTGAATTGGTTGTTTTTTCTGTGAAGGAATAAATTGTGCATGCATCATTTTGTTTATTTTTCTGAGTCCATTTTTTTGCATAGGAAAAGGTTTGTTTTCGAGTATTGCACATTTTCAAGAGTTCAGAGTTCTTCCTTGAACTGCGCGCTTTTTAACGGCCTCTTCTCCGTCAGTTGGTCGATCCTTGTTCAAGTTTGTTACTAGCTAAGTGAAACACGAAACGATGCTGAACATTTAATTATTACAACACATTAAATCAAGTTTCAAAATCAAATAATGTTCAATCAAAAAAAAAAAATAATGCATTAATAATAAAAAATTAAGTCAACTCAAGGCAAAATTTGAAAACTCAATCAATCATTAATCAACCGGTCAACTGATCATACATATATTGCTAGTTGAAATGTTACAAACAGTTTATTTATACTGTCATAACCGTTGCAATGGTCAAATTGCGCTTTATTATTTATCTTGATTATTCATTATCTCATATTATTATTTAGACAGCGTTGTGCCACGGGATTCCATTTAGGACCGTTACTTTTTAAAATATATGTCGTGTGATTTGTAAGTTTTTGTGTTTATATGTGTATGCAGTTTGTATGTGTGTATATATTTTATAGGTATGACATGTAATTTTATGTGGTAAATAATTAATATTTTTTAGAGCCTATCATTACCAAATGTCTTGCGTAGCATTAGTGTAAAGTTAAAGAGAATTAAAATTATAATATATAATTAAATTAGCACGGAATAAACATTTTTTAGTTGAAAATTAGCATATAACACGAGTTATAGTTTTGGCGATAGTTTTTATTTTATCTTAAAAAATATTTAATATTTATAAAATTAGAATTAAAATTAAAAATTTTTTTTTACTGAAACGCGGTTTCGATATCTTACAAACATTTATAAATTGCGAATACTACTCCAACCAAAGGACGTCATTTCTTGTGATGAACAACGACTGCACTAGTAAACCAGAATCGATAATAGCCATCTAAGTAATATATATGTTCAAATGTAGTACAAGTGAGTGTGGGCACCATAATTCCGAATATAATGTTATGACAATGACCAAGTTATCGAGAAGACTGATAAAATAATATATGTTTTCTTAGTGACAAATTTTGATGAAAAAAGACCCAAAAACTCACTGATGGAAATAAATTGAAATTAAAAATGGCAGAATTCAGATCAATACCAATAAACTTAAAATATATCAAAGATTTTGTGAGAACAAGGGCAATGTTTGAGTTTGGAGTGGCATGAAATTGGTCGTAAATAAAAGTTTTGATCCGCCACAACTAGTTAGTTAATTTACTAAAGTTACTAATGCTAGATGATCGTATATTGCAGGAATTTTGAAACTGTCATGTTTAAGAGCGTATGTTGTTATAATTGTTAAAAATGAAATCTTTCCTATTGAAGTTGTCGCCATATAAGTTTAACAAAACTGAAATATAAAATGTTATCTTAAAACACACGAGCATGACCAGATGTCTTAGCCATTACACCGTATTTAAAAAAATCATGCGATAATGAAAATGAATTTAAATAAATGCTAGTATTTTATTAACCAAAATAAAACAAATTTTGTTTTAAAAATTAAAAATGTTTTTTAATTAAGACAACAATAAATTTTAAATTAAATTTTGCTCAATATTTCAACGTATTCATTAAACAAAAAAAAGTTTAAATTTCCACGTATACTATTTTTCTTCCATTCGGCTCTTTCAGTTCATTTCGGCTGGTTTCCATCAGAGTTCCATCGCTTTTCTTCAGCCTTTTGAAACTATCCAACTAGAAATTATTTTTTATCAAATTTTTCGTTTGACTTTTCTATTTAAATCTTATTAATTCAATTTGTTGCATGGTGATGTAAATTAACTGGTTAAGTGGTTGATTTTTTCAGTAATCAGTGAATTAAATATAATTGAGCTTTCTATATATCTGTATATAATTTATAAATAGTTGTGTAATGTATTATATATAACATTCAGACATTATTTTACAATTCTTTTTTTTAAAGGTTCTAACAACAAACACGCAGCTTATGTATGTGTACATGAAATCAACGCATAACACGTGATATGCCGAGGTTTAACTTGCTTTCGAAATTGGTCACTACGACAGCAGAGCCAAGCATTTTCACCATTGCACCATCGATCCATATAAAATTAATAACCACACCTGTTCTTGAGAAATATAAATGGGGTGTTTGTATACCCTGGTGTCCACATTTTCAGGACAGGATCGGGTCGTGCCACTACCCTTATATTGGAAGAAGGATTTGTTTTCCGGAAAAAGATCACTCAAGGTTAAGGTCATATTCAACTCACGCAAGTCATCAGCTGTTGTGTGTGCGGTTCATTTTGTAATTGGTGGCGTTAGATCCATTTTTTTATAAACAGTTATAATGGAATTTTTATCGTGCAGAAACTATTTTTTAAAAGATAATTTAATGAAAATTTAATTCGATCAATTGACTGTTCAAACAATCTTTTAATTTTTCAGTTATTCAATCATTTATTCGCCAAGCAATTACTCAATCAATGGACCAGCCAGTCGACCAATCAACCAATCACTCAACTTTGTAGGAACTAAAACACATGCAGCTTATTGCGAATTGTAATTAAATTTTCAACTGATTTTTTTTCAAAAATCGAATGCTCAAAACTCACAGCTTCTGTAGGGACTAATTTTTGGCAACTCATCAACAAATTTTTGAACTTCGTGATGAGCTCTGTTGCCAACCTCATCGTAAAAAGATAACGACGTTTAATTTAACTTTATAGCAAAAAAAAACTTTTACAAATAATCATAACTACCGATTAGTTAATTAACTAATTGAATAATTAAGTAAATGAGTAGGTAATGTAATTGGCTAATTAATTAAAAAATTTAGAGTTAAAAAAATAAAATTTACTTCGGCAAAAATCACGTTTATGATGCTTTTATCGACACTAATTCTGTCAGAAAAAACGGCATTCACGTAGATTATTGACATCTGACAGAAAAATGAATTTGAAATAAATAAAATTTCTTCCAAAACATATTTAGTTGAAATTTATTTAATAAAAAAATTTAGCTTAGAGGAAGAACATATGGCGATCATATGAAAGAACGATATATTAACTTTTTATAAAATAGTTTGTTCCTACTTGAAATGGATACGATTTGCCATCAAGCGTATGTTCGCTTGGCCACTTGAATTCAATCTTATTGAAGTATTTTCCATACTCGTGTACGTTGACATGATCATTTGGGTTGTACATGGAGTAGAAGTTTACTGTCTCAGGGTTTGCGTTATCATTTTATATAATTTAAGTTTCTGCGTGTAAGTGTGTTTGTTTGTTTGTGTGCGTGTGGTGTGTTTGTTTGTGTGCGTGTGTGCGTGTGGTGTGTGTATGAGTTTGGGTGAACAATTAAAGCCTAGATTAGAGAGGCCAAAAACCTAAGTTTTCCATTTCAATGAGTTTATCTACTCAAAAAATCATCAAATCGTTCCAAAACTTGATTCTTACTAAAACAAAAAAGTCGAAATTTAATTTTTTATTCATTGATATTCTCTTACGACGATCATAAGCGATGAAGGCACGCATAGGTACGGTTGTAATTCCTTCCTTAACACTCCATGATTCGACTGCACTAACGTCGACTTTTTCGTAGTCAGTGATGTCAATCGGGGACTGCATATTTCCATCTCTGCAATTTCCTTCTGACTTTCTGAGATACTCATCGTCATCTGGTGGGTACGTGCGTGTGTCTGTGTGAGTCTGTGTGTGCGTGCGTGTGTGTTTTTAGAGAGTGAAACCAAGAATTGAGTATCAAAGTGTGTGACTGAGTATGTTTGTATGCAGGTGAGTTTGAGAGATAGAATATATGTTAGTGGATGTGAGCAAGGACGCGTGTGTGTGAAAAAGAAAGAAAAATATGAATTTATAAACTGTGGGTATTGAAAATTTAATTTACTAAAATTCCTCTCCTCCTCTGTATACGTGCTTCTGACACGCGAAACAGAACTACCTGGGATTAAAAAATAATGAAATTTGTGTTTGATAAAAATTTTAAAATTATAAAAAAATTAAAATTCTCATCGAAAGTTGTTAAAATAAATTTTTTTCGGTTAATCTGTTGATTAGTTTAAAAATGTAACCCCAAATTTGATTAAATATTCTATTTAAATGAGTGATTTTTCAGATAAATAGTTAATAAAAGTTTAAGTGTGGTGTTGATTTACCAAAGATGGCTAGCGCAAACACAAACTCCATCTTCATCTTTCTGAGTACAAAATTTTGTTAATTGTATATTAAATAGTTATAAAAGTTATTATTGATTATGAATAAAGAATGTGGATAAAGTTTTTAAATCTTTCAAAAAAATTATCTTCAAAAATAATTTTAAAAATTTCATACTTGGCTTCGAGAGTAATTTTTCGGTGTCGAAAATATTCGAAATTTACTCTTTGGAGCCCATTTTAAATAGAAATTTTGTCAGCGGTTCGGTATATTTTGGGTAAAATGGCCCCAAAAAATTTTTCTTTAACATAATTTTTTGTTTATTTTATAAATCCATCTTTTTTATGATTTCAATTATAAAGATTTCTAATTTAATTTTTTGTTCAATCTTTAATAAAACATGTTTAATTTAATAGTATTTCTAAACATAGGCCCGAAAACCTAAAAAATTGAAACTTTACCAACCAAATTTTTTACAGGAGCGTATTTCATTTGAATTATTCAAATTTTAAAGATCGATAGTTTTGCTTGCATGTAATGTAAATTTTGAATTCTATCAGACAGGAGTTCTGACTGCTACAGTTAGTTAGTTTTCTGATTTTTAAAAATGTTTATTTGAGAGGTTTCTTTTTTGCAATTTTCATTGTTCACGGATCACATGTTAAACGTGAAGGTCTCCAAGAAGTGCCAGGCGTCTTAACTATTTCACTACTGGGCTACCAGGCATATATTTTGTAAAAGTTAAATTTTGATACTATTATTACGGTTTGTGTTACGTTAATATTTAACGTAATAGATAATTAGAAAAAATCCCATCCTCCCATAGAAATCTGAAACCTGACATATAGTGTCAGATTTTGATTTTTTTTGTTTGTTTCTATCTATTTGCATTGTACAATTATTATAGTGGCCTCCACAAAATTGTTTCATCTTAGTGCTGTTTAATCAATTTATTTTTGAAGTTTTCTCTCAGTTAGTTTGAATAAAATGTTTTCGTTCTTTAGTTTAGCTTTTTTTTCAAATTTTTTCTTACTTTTGTCGGTTTTAGTTTCAATAAATTATTCTATATTCTTTGCAGAACCTTTAATAAAGTTTGTATAAATTAGTAACATTATTTGCTGAAAATAAAAGCTCCCGAAGCTTGAAAACAAATAATGTATTCATTTGAATTTTTCAAAATTCAGATCGATAATTTTGTTTGCATGTCATGTAAATTTCACTTTGCATCAGACATGTGTTCCGTTCCGTTCCGACCGCAAGCTATAACTTTTTTAAAGAATTTACACTAATACTGTTGCTACTACTGGTACTGCTGCTGCTACTACTACTAATACTGCTGCGGATGTTGTTGTTGCTGCTACTGCTGCTCGTACTAAGATGAATTTTCAGAAGGTTGACAAACTTCTTCACTTCTGTGTCTTTATCACCGAACTAATAAAAGAAATAAAAAATTTTCTTTAGAAAAAATTAAATCGATAAACGAGATGAAAATAGAGTGAGATGAGACGGGACAACACGAGACGAAATGAAATGAAATGGAATAAAATTTACAAGCTAATCAGATCATTTCTTATTCATTTGAAACATCCACAACAAATTTTTGCAAATAAAACATTTTGCTTTAATTTTTCTCAATATTCACACAAATTAATTATTTAACTAATTAATTCTTTTAACCATCTAGGTCATCAGATTCTCGCCCCTACATCTTACAAATTAATTTATATGCAGCATTAAAATTCGTTTGTGATAAACTTTTAATAATTTTTCAGAAGTTCAGAAAGTTAAATCTCATAAATAGGTTTCCATCGTTTGGTGTTTTTTTGAATATAAATAATATAATTTTATGATTTTCATTTCAATTTATTTCAGTTAATTTTCAATCAAATTTAGATCAAAAATTGATTATAAAACTATTAAAAAGCACATTTAAAATAATTTTCTATTACAAAAGTGCGTTTTCAATAAATTTTTATGAATTTGCAGATTCGTTTGTGGATTTAATAATTTAAAGTCATTCGCTATAGAGCAATTTATTCAATATCTGTTTTTATATATTCTAAAAATTTTCAGATATTTAACAATTTATTATAATTTTGAAAAACAACATTCCTTCTTCACATTTCACGGCATGGCATCTCCCGGACGTGCTATAGTGTGCCCTGCTGGAATGGGCTTACATTCTTATGTTGTTATTTTGTTCTGGTTAAATTAGTTTAGTCTTTGCGTGTCTTATAATTTTCTGAAAAATTTTTATCAATTAAATCGTCAGGAATTGTTGTTATGCAGGCAATTGTGTGTTGGATTGATAACTTATGTTCGCAAGGGTTAACTTTGTGCATCTATCATTATTAAATCGATTTGAACAAAATTGTTAGAAAATGACAACTCAAAGTTTATATGGATATTTATGAAAAATAAATTCTTTGGACCTCGGTTTTGTAAATTTATAACCACAGTTGTTATTTTGCAGCCACTTAAAATGGCGTTCCATTTTTATGAGAGCAGAAAATAAAATAATTCGTTGTTTCCCAGAAAGGTCCATTGCCAAATAATTTTCAACTGTAACTATAATTCTTTTCTATTTTATTATTTTTCACCTTCTAATATTCTTCGTTATCATTGTAATTCTTATTGCTGTTCTTGATTAATATTTAAATAATAATAGAAATTATTCTTATTATTATTTATTCATTTATAATCAAAGCACCTCTCTGCAAGTGTGTTTGTAACATTCGGATTGGAGCAAGTAATGTAGGTATGTTCCTCTTTGACGTCAAGTAACTTTCCTGGCGTAATGTTTAAAGGCGCCTTGTCCCGCTGTTGCAGTGACTGCGTTCGACTGCAGAGAGACACCAGCCTATCATATGCAATGTGTCTGATGCAGAGGTGGACATGGGTCCATTTTTACTGACCCAACCCAACCCAACCCATCACTCAACTCAACCCATCCCAACCCAACCCGCCTGAAAATGCAACTTTTCAACCCAACCCGACCAGACCCAACCCACGACCCATCTGCACGAGTCGCAATTTTACCAAACAGGCAAATTTTTACAAATGATATTTAAAAAGCAGAACTCAAAAATACAAGATCATATGTGTAATAAAACACACAGGTGAAGTAATCACACTGCAAGTGTAATAAAATAACATGAAAATTAATTAAAAATTAAATGTTACTAATATTTTCCCACAACAACGTCAGAAACATCAAACTTTCCATATTTGGCACCTAACTCAACACAGCTCTGCATCAAATTGAGAAGCCCTTTATTTTCAACAGATTTGTATGAGTGGTAACCATCAACACAGAAAAAGATCTGCCTATGCTTCAACATCGTTAATTCTTGAGGAGACAGTTGAATTTTTCGTTTCAAGCATTGCTGGATTTTCAACTGTGACTTTGGCAAGACTACAGCACAATGTTTAATATGTTCTTGCTGATTTTTAGTGCCAAAGTTTTTACCTGATGAATCTTTAAACTGATATACCTTATTGCACTTAATACAAGCACAATACTCAATAGTAATTCACAGGAATTTCGCTTTCATCATTTTCCTTTTTTTGAAAAACCATGTGAAATTTCTGCCAGATTTCTGATTTTAAATTTGTGGGTGCTTTTAATATATACCACCCTGTTTTTTCTGGAATGAATAAATATTTAAATACTTAAGTATGTTCAATCAATCAATTAAATTTATCTAATGAATGTGATTTCTAAACTTCAACAGCGCCCAACTAAAATTTGAAAAATAAACCATTTCTAGGTAGAAAAAAGAAAGAAAATGAAACATGAATATCAGGTAAATAAGTAAAATGAGCAATTGAGAAAAAATTCTGATGTCTATAAAGTGTAACTGTAAAGACTGAAGAGATTTGAAATTATGAAAAATAACAATTAAATCTTTAAAAAAGGAATTAAAACATAAAAAATGTAAAAGTGTTAATGTGAAATTTATTAGATTTTTTACTTTCGCAAACTTAGCAAATTTAAATCACACAAACCTCTCAAATGACGCTAAATTTCTTCTGATTCTGCCATACTTGTAAATAAAACTAATTTTCTCGATCGGAAAGAAGTTAACTTTTGCTCAACTCAATAATCACAAAAAGAAAGTGGAAACGATAGACCAAAGATACAAGAATATTACAGCGATATAAAATACACCGATTATTAACTAGTTAAAATGTTCGTTTAAGAATAAAAAAAAATACAGAAATAAATTATTTATAATAAAATTTGAAAATTTCAACCCAACCCACACAACTTTAAAAAATTTGGACCCAACCCAACCCAACCCAACCCAACCCATGGGTTAACCCAACCCATGTCCACCTCTGGTCTGATGCGTGCATCTCACGCCTGTTTATATGCCACGCTGTGTGTATTCGTCGTTGAAACTTCTGAAGCAAGTGCACAAGAGAGATTGACCTTTAATCTTTTTAACCTTTCTGACAGATTTTGGAATAAGAATTTTTTTAAAAGTACGTGAAAGCTGAAGTAAGCAAGAATTTTGTTTAGACGCTCAACTTGGTGCAGCACAACTACTAATATTATAATGTAGGTACTGATGTAGGTACATTCTCATTATGCAACCCTTCTTCTATTTCTTTTTCTCGCAATTAATTTAAACATATTTTTGTTAAGTTTTATGGTTTTTATAAATGATTGTTTTATTAAGAGAAAATTACAACAGTTTAATGAAATTATGGTATACAATGAAAATGTTTCAGTGTGATCAGCAGTTAAATTAAAGCGATAGGCTTATTCCTAATTTTAGTTATCATTTTTACACTATGACAATTCACACAATTTTTTTTATCTTACAATCGCATAATTGACAGTATTAACTGTTGTATGAAAATTTAATTGTAGAATTCAATGATTGATTGATCATTCAAATGATTTATTTCTTAATTGATTGAAAGTTATTATCATTGTAGATTGTATACATTTATGATTACGTTCAATTCTTTCGCCGCCAAATATTTTCATAGAATACTAGAATACTGAAACAAGGTATTCAAAGTGTTCAAAGTGTTCAAGGTATGTGTGCTGTGTTTTGCTGTTTTCGAAGAGTTGAAACACAAACTAAATAGAAAACAATAAATAAGCGTGATGTACGTATACTAATTTATTACGTAAAATAAATATAACGTTCTATAACCAAACGAATTGAAACAATTGAACGAACTAAAAAAGCATGCACCAGTAAAGTCATATTGAACATATATTATCGCCCAAAAACTAATAGAATAAAAAGTGATGTGGCTCTGCAATAGCAGGTGTCAATGGAGTGTTTAACATTGAACTCTTTTTACTGCTGAAGTAACTTGTAGAAGCCTGTTTCTTTTCTTTAATTACCCTGACCCCCGGGGGACCAGCTCTGCTCCTTTAAATACACATAGGTCATTCCTAACACAGTAACTTATTGCAAACCAAACTATGAACAAAACTTTTTTAAATCTGAAAATTTTTGAAAGTTAAAATTTTAATTTGCGGGGCGGATTTGGAATAACGCACTTGAATCCGCATGCGCGGCAAACCGCAAAATCCGCGGAGTTTTGAGAATTTTTTATCCGCATTGCGGATATCCGCTTGAGGCTCTAGTACACAAAACTATAAAATTGGAGTTTCCCATTTAAAGCATGATTTTTTATTTTTTACTTAGTGTTGTATAATTTGCAGTTTTATTTATTACTATAAGGTGTCGTAATTTTTTAGGCTTTTTTGTTTTTCTTTATCTGACGTGAATTAGATTTATGTGATGCAGTTCATTTAATTTTTCTTACATAAAAATATGAATTTGAATCCTTCAATGAAGTATTTCTGCCGAAAAGGCTTCAAAATTAAAATCTGGATGTTAGCGCTGTATAAGCGAATGATTATAAAAATAAACAAATAAATAGACTACGTTGTTGATTGTGGTGTCTGAATTGTACTGCGAAATTATTTATTTTTATATTTACTAAACATTCATCGTATTTTTGATATCATTATAAACTAACTCCTTGCTATCGGCGATATATTCGAGTTTATAAACTCATCTGGTGCAAAAGTTATTTTGAAAATATTCCCCTAGCGATATGGAAGTTTTTTCATTTGACTTTGTTACGGTAAACAGTAAGTTAGACTGGCTGGCAAACAGTAGAAGCATGTTAAAAACAGCAAGTTGAATAAAAAAATATGCAACTCTGACACCCTGGATATGTTTAGAAAGGTTTAAGAAGCGTTTAACTGGTGGAAGATTTAAAAAAGTTTATGAAAATATATTTTAGAACATTTTCTCATAGGTCGAAAATATTCGAGATAGATTATTATAATTTAAATTCGTGTCGACGGCCATTATAATAGAAGTAATAGTGTTCAAAGTATTGTAAACTTCCAATCATTAAAGTAAATATTTTTTTTTTAGTTCAATTAATTTTAAGAATTTTGAATTACTGGAAATTCGTTTATCCATGATGGGTGAATTTTGTTGCGAAATAAAACTAATATACACATACATACTTCTACAAACACACACACACACAACACACATGCGCAAACAAAATCAGAATTGAGATATTTCAATTAAAGCATTGTTCGCATTATTTTATTTTTTTATTCAGTTTTTCATGATTTAATTTTGTTTTTTTTTCTATCTAGCGTTGATTAAATTTGCGAATTAAGTGCTCATTCGTACTGAACTTCGATACATGTGTTCTCACTAGTTGAATTATAAAGTTTTGCTCGACTTATAAATTATTAGGCATACTGGAGATTATGTTTGGATATGGAAATAGTTTATTCAATAATTATTTTCTGTTTTAAAAATGAATTCAATATTTTCACCGATCATAGTTAGAAACGATGTATTTGTTGTTTTAGTGATTTATCGAGAGCTACTGAGTTAACGAAACACTTCAAGTTCGATGCTTGTTGTTGCGTAGTTACCTCTGTAGGGGCACTCCGTTCTGGGCGCTGGACCTCCTCATTGAGGCGGCTTTCCTGGTTGTTGAACGTTTCAAGTTCATTGCTCGTTGCCATGAAAAATCTAGGTAGGAGAGATTTCAATTTTGTTTGTTTGTGTGTGTGTTGAGGCTGTGGGCCAGAGCCAGACAGTATGGGGTGTCGGTGTTTGTGTTGTGTGCGAGACTGATTTCATTCATTTCACACCCCCGTATATTGTGCTTCGACGTCATTGTCTTGTTTTTGTTTTGGTTCTGCCACTCCAGTCACCGTCAGGCTCGAAGTTTTCGTATTTCGCTGCGTTTCATCAATCGAGTACGCCATGTTGGTATAATTGTGTGTGTGTGTGTGTGCGCGCGCGTGTGTGTACGTACATTTGAAGTTTAATTGTTGCTAATTCGTATGTGCGTCTAACGTATAAGTATTTGTTTTAAAGTTTAATTCTTATTACCTGTTTGCATAATTGATCGGTTGATTGTTTCTACGTGTTTATAGCTTAATTATTTTAATTTGCCTTATACTGCTCACTCTAATGTGTTATTAATATTTGAACATTCAGTTAATTATTTGAAATTGAATGTAGCTGAGTTATTTGCTTGAATGTGTTAAACTGACTCCATTGTTTAATGTTTACCAATTGATAAATTAATTTGTGTATCTGAATTCATTTGCGAATTTCTTTTGTATACGAGAGTCGTGTTTAACCACCCGTGCACAGCCTCGATTGGACGCGTGTGGCAGAGCCATAACTTCTTTTGTTTGTAAATGTGTTTCTTTTCTGCATTTTGCCTGTATTATGTGTAACTTTTAGATCAAGTAGAACTTAGGTGAGTTAAAAGTCAGCGAATTACAACTTCATTGCATCGGTCGATCCTGTTTATGTATGGATTGTAGGCCACTGTTGTGCGTTGTCCTCGTCATCTCTAGTCTCGCATTTAATTAGTCAGCAGACAATGAGGATTAGTAAGCTTGCGGGAGTTATTTGTCAGTTGTGTTTGCACGCAGTGTAAGTTTTTAGGCACCATTGCTAGTATTATTAGAAGTTCGGTGGCAGTTGTAATTTCTGAGCATTTTTTGCAGAGTAACAGTGTTATGCTGCTCTTGTCGGAATATGTCCTATTATTCGCGAGATAGGGGTCCACAATTAGGTAGGTTTGACATGGTGAGTTTTGTGTGATTTTGTGATAATGTTTTAAGAATTGGTTATATTGTAACCGTTATTAACGAAATAGATTCAGGGATTATTGGTGGCATTGCGTGATTGGTAGTTTAGATATAAGCCATTTCCTGAGTATAATTGCGTTGAATTATTAAAGTGATTCTAATTTTCATGTACAGAGATTATTGTTTCTGAACATTTTTCTGATTTTTTTTTCGGTATTAATAAATAATTATAAAATCGGTGCGTACTGTTGGATTGAAAATCCTAGTGACTAAAAGACTAATAAATAAAACACCACGAACTAACGAGGTGATTTGTGCGGGCTTTATAAGAAACTGCGCTAACTATTTTGAAAAGCATTCGGGCTGCTGATGAGTCCCCGGTAGGGACGAAACACGTGTCCAGTCTATCCAAACGAATACTATTCTTTTCTTCTCACGCTCACTGCTCTCTTGGTTCGTTCTCTCAAACGTCAAAACGCAACCGCAACAGCACTCACAGATGCACAAAAAAGCCAACGCGACAACTAAAAGTAGTAGTTGTTCTGCCGGATCTAGTTATTATTATCGGTAACTAGCTCTGATGTTGGTAGCAGGGAAAACTCGTATTGACAATTAAAACCCAACTAATGCAGTCGTATCTGGTTTTAACTCTAGAGAAGACAGTCGAATTTTGGGATAAGGATGTCCAAACTTTTTAGAAAGGAAAAAAACTCTAAAAATAACATATGAACTTAATATTGTGATAACTAAACAAGCTTGAAAAATTTCGAATAAAATTGAATTAACCTGCAAATAATTTTAAACAAAAATTAGCTAAAAACTGTTTTAAGAATCTTTATAATGAAATACTTAGTATAGTTATGCGAAAGCAGAGATAAAAGTTGGCTTTGGGATAGTAAGTTTTGGTAGGCTTAAAACTGAATTGAACAAAACTTTGTAAAAACTTAAGTTACAATTTATACAAAATCACTGCTCTGAACAGGAAACTACTTCAAAACTTGGTGATAATCAAAACAAAAAAGTCAAAAAAATTTTCGGGACGCTGATTTAATGTAACAAATTAATAAAATATCATTGTGCACGAATCTACAAAGTCCTCTGTTGACAACAACCAAATGCAAACATCTGTAACCTTTAAAATTGTTTCAGTACGTACTGCGAAATGATTTATTTCTGTATGTTGATTTTAATTGTTTTCCATTATTTTATTATTGGCTGTCGTACATTTTTTTTCATTTTGGATCCCTTGCGATGATGGAATGCCTGCTCTACTTTTAATTGAGCCTTCGTTTAAACATCTATTTTCATCCGGATGCGAAAAAGCGGACATGAACAAATCGATTGCCTTGAGTATTAATAATCAAAAATTGTATTGAACTTAAATTGTCAAATCAAATCACAGAAATCAAGAATTATAAAACTTTTTATTAAACCTTTCAAGTTTGTGCGAGGCGATGATATTGTGCAATTGTTATTTTTAAATGAAGCTAGTTTGCTGTATATACAATTGTTGAATTATATTAACACTGGTGAGCACGTTGTTATTAAATTTTTACGTCAAACGATGTTTAGCTAAGTTGTTTATCATAAAACGGGACTTCAAAAAAAAATTATTTCCACTTAAAAGATATCAAATTTATTCGAAATCAATTTTTTTCGTGTTATTTAAACGGCTGATGATGCCTAAATAATTTTTGTTTCATAGCTAATAAACTACAACAACTTTACAACGTCGAAACGTCGAAACATGACAAGCTTTTTAGAAATTTTTCTCAATAAACCGTGGTGAAACATGTGCTTCTATTTGAAAATGTTATAAGCTCCTATGAACGAAAATCATTTTTCGATCACATTTATAAATTTAATGTAATAGTATTTGTTTTTAATAACAATAACTGAGTTGATTATAAGAGGAAATAATGATGATTAAAATAGGTCTCGCCGCAAAGCGCTCTGTTGATCGTAAAAGAAATTCTACATTGTTTCAAGCTTTTTCACATTCATTAAACGAAATTTCATATTTCTTCTTCAGTAAGTAAATTCTTATGTCTGTAGCTGTTTTTGAAAAATTTTCTGACGAATTATAAAAAACTTTATTTCAAAAATTCAATATGGCTTATTGAATATGCCAAATATAATGAAACATTATTAAATTGCATCTCTAATGTAGTACTATTTTCTAATAAATAAACCATATTTAAATCTACTTCACCACAAGTTAATTTTTTATTAATATTTTCTAGTTCTAAAAAAGTTTAGAAAAATACAAATAAAAGAATATTTTCCATGTGTATATATTGAATAATAAATTAAAAAAATTATAGTTGAAATTTAATTTTAATATAAATATTTCATTTCAGTTGTATTTATTTTATGAATCAGTATTTTGTCTAGGGCAGAAGGCTTAATCTGGCTCTGATGATTAGAAAGTTCCTTTTTTTTAATTTTAATTGTTGACCCGGCAATTGAATAATCAAAATTAAACAAATATCCATGCCTTGTTCAACTTAAATATAATCAAATGGTTTATTATTTATTCGACCCTATTTCAATAAATAAACTTTTATTTTTTTTAAATAAAAAAAATCATTATGATTATTTATTTGTTAATGTATTTAAATTTTTGCGTTTGCATCAAAATATATTAAATATTAATGTTGAAAGAAATCGAATCTACTTTCAATTCGTTTCGCCAGGTCAAATATAATCAAATAGTTTATTATTTAGTCGCCAGGTTTTATTTTGCAGAAACAATTACCCTTTTTCTATAAAGTTTTCTATTTTTTTTATTAAATTAAATTTTTATGAAATTGATTAATTAATTATTTAAGTATTTTATAAAATTTTTTTGAAAATTAAATTGTTTAAAAACATCCCATATAGTTCTTCAGAATATAAACTTAATCTTAATGTACTCTGTTTAAGTTAGGATTGTTATGATAATGTAATAAGAAACTTTGATTCTGTGGAAGAAAAGTTTTAAGTAGTAAAAATATAGAAAAAAACGCAAAATCGTGGAATTTTTTTGTTGCTGTTAATCGTTCAAAAAACAAAGAATTGTTTTCTGATTTTTGCTATGATGATGTCGAGTTTAGTGCAGTTTTTTGTGCTCGGGGCGTGTAGGACTATTTGAAGGATTTGAATAGAGGGAAAGCCATGGAGAGGTCGAGGCGGCTTTTGGACTACAGCCCACCCAGCCTTGCATATTTTTGTCAGGGTTACATATAATTTTAACAAATTTCAGTTAGAAATACAATTTTAGAATTTTGCAACTTCTAGAAACACTCAAATAGCTGAAATTAGTTTCACAAATGAGATTCAAAAATGAATATTTTTTAAAATACTAAGATAATAACGGATACCAACTTTTCAAGAAACAAAGTTATGTTGCGATGTTAACTATAGTATGCTGGTATTATTTGATATAAATTTAAAATTGTAAATCTTAGACCGGATTGTGTACACGGAAACTTAACAGGTGAACTTAACAGGTGAACTCAATCAAATACAAACAGTTGTCAACAACAAAAGTTTATATTCAAGCAAATTAAGTGGCGGTCCCTTTCTACTTGATTGATTGAACTTGAAGTGCACTGATCTTGCAATCTTTAACAAAATCATAAACTTGCACTGTATTAAAAAATTTCCCATCCTGGTTCTGGAATAAAAATAATATAAATTAGAATCTTACAGAAACACGTTAATAAAATTAGGAATTGTTTTATAAAAATTTAAATGGATTTCACACCTTGCTTTCAGTTGGTCCTACAGCTAAGAGCATACCAACGGTACGAGAAATATTGGAACCTTTATTTTTATTATAGCTGATATTTAAATTCATATCGTGAAGTGTGGCGGTACATTTCTGTATCTCAATGTTTGACACCAGACTGTACCCCACTTCGGTCAACATTTTTTTTGCAAAACATTTCCTTGACGGATCCTCCGAAATCAACCTTAAAATCAAATTGAAAATGTGCATTTCGTTTTCAGCATTTATTTCCCCTGATGCAATCAAGCGAAACATTTTGTTTGGTGATAATAATATCATGGCGTTTTCTTTTATTTCTTTAAATTCTTCAACATGTATTCAATAACTTTGTCGACCACCTGGTTAGTTAAAAGGTATTTGTTTGCAATGTCCAAAATTGGAATACATGTAGACATGTTCAAATGTTTTAACAATAATTTAGTGTAGCTATCAATCATTGTTTTGATTTGTAAATAGAAGCCATCCAACCCTGCTTCTACTTCATTCAACGACTTCAGATGAGGACCTCTTTCAATTACGTTGATTGACCACTTGAATAAGTAATCCGTTACTTCTCTCAAGGAATCATTTGTTAAAAATACTAACTTAACTTCTTTAAAATTAGAATCTCTCATACCACTATTCATCAAAGCTTAGAAATAATCACTGGTCCGAAGAAGCATGTTTGTGTCAATTTTATGACGACTTTCTGATTTTGATACTAATACAATTTGCTCGCTGGTTAAACTTTTATTGCTTACTACGTTGTTTGCGTTTTCCTTCATTGTCAATTCTATCATAGCTTGGCAATAAATATGAATTCAGGATATACGTTTCCAAATGCAACAGAGTATATGCTACAATATATGCTTCAATTCACAGAAGCTCTACACACATTGAGATTATTATTAATAGGCACTTGGATATCTTTTAAGCAATTTCTTATATATATATATATATATATATATATAAATATGTATACTTTCTACAAACTCCATAGTTATATTTATTATACTACACTTTATTTAACTACATTTATTTATCTATGTTTACCCCATGTACTTGTAACTATGTATCACAATGTTCAATTGCGTTGTTGTAGAGTTTACAACTCTTGTTGTTGACATAATTCACAGGTTTCTCGGCACCCTAATAAAGTTTCTTCACAAAGATTTCAAAACTACTAATTTACAGTTAAAGTAACTATATTTTGTGTAAGCTGCAATTCAGCCAGTTCAGATGGGTGATGTGCCCTGTATCCATATTGATTGTTGTTTAATAATTTATTGACAGTCAAGAATGATGTTATTCAAACAAAAATAATTTTTTCCAGTACTTTGGAGGGTGGCGACAGAAGAGATAATGATCGATTGTTCATCATCTCTAGCCGGCTGCTTTTTTATAAATTGGAATTTTGGAGTTTTGAAACTTTTTGGAAATATTCCTTGGTTGATGGACAGATTATAAATGTGTGTAATAAGACTTTTATGATTATTTGTTTAAGTAGATAATTACTTAATGTGTCATCAGAAGTGCTTTTTTTGTTACTTACATTTTTGACGATGGATATTACTTTATCTTCATCGGTGGAGTTCATGTAAGCTGATTTACAAATTACATTGTTTATTTTTATATTATTACCTCTGTTTATTTAGTTTTCTAACAGCTTTTCAGTTACATTAGTGAAGTATTTGTTATAAAGATTACACATTTCTTCTGTGTTCTCAATTATTTTGTCGTTGAATTTTATTTTACTAATGTCGCTGATATTTAAATTTTTAATCATTATCTTATTCATTATTTCCCATTTTTTCTTTGAACAACTCTGCATCTTCAAATTTTTTGCTGGAAGTAATTTTTTCCACTTTTCGTTTAATTGATGTGAACTGATTTCTGAATTCTTTATATTTTTTAACATTTGAGAAACTAGGTGAAAAAATTGCATTTTTGTATAGTTGATTTTGTTTGTAAGATAATTTTAGTGTTTCATTATTTACCCAGGCTTGTTTTATTTTCTGATTTTGCGGTTGTAATGGTGCATATTTTTCTAGAATTGAGTTTAGTGTTTTATAAAAATTCATACAAGTTATTTCTATGTTGTTCTCACTTTTAACCGAATGCCAAGTTTCATAGATCAGGGATTCCCTTAATAATTGATGTAGTTGTTTTATTGATTTTTTTTTCAGAACTTTTCCTAACTTATTTCACTTCAAGGTAAATCCTTTTTAAATTATTCAGTCTCTTGTCAGACATATTTGATCTCAAATAATTAATAAATCTTGGGTTTGTCCTTGGGAATTTTTTTAAATTGATAACCACATAAAAGTTTCCCTCAAATAACTTTTATTTTTACGCAATCGTAAACTTTCAATTTAAAATTATGAACTATTCGTTCGTATGTCAGACCACTCAAAACAGCGTGCCAATCGGTAAACTTTTTCTTAAGAATCTAAAATTGTTTTACATTATTATTGAGTGATGCTTGATAATATTGTAGTTAATAATAAATAAAGATATAAATTTAAATTGCACCGTATAACCTCAAACTTTTGTTAAAAATAATTCAACCAAACGATTAATTACAGACATCTATAACAAAAGTACGCAATCACAGCCATCATCTTAACCATGCATGCAGAACACATATGAATAATAAAGTATTCGAAATGGTCTTATATTAATTTTTGGCTTATTGCATTGGCGTGAGTTAATTCAAGATAATTTTTCGCCCCCTTGCATAATGTGATTTAATTCAAGATAATTAATTTGCTATTTATATTTTTAACATCAAAATTTGCGGTCTTATTGGTAAATACGCTCTAATCCGAATATGGACTGCAGCTCTTTATGTATCATCAAATTGTGCTAACATCGGCCTGGTTCTGCTCGTCAGAAACACTGAAGCGACAGGAACAAGAAATAAAATTTATGATTTTAAAATAAAACATAGCAGATAATATTTAAAATTATGTTTTAATAAGAACAAATATGATTTATAACGGAAAAATTTAAAAGAAACTGGGTTTCTACTGTTTAGCTAAATTTCTTTTCTTAATAAATTTCTAAAATTTCTATATTTTCATTTCAGCAGATAAAAATAAATTTTAGAAAATTAAACTGATTTAAATTGCTAAATAAAAAAATAATTAAAACTTATTCAGTGATAGAATAGAAAACAAACATTATTTTATAAGTAAATATTCTTTCTCTCAAGTAAATGACAAGCATCTCGAACTAATGTGAGAATTGTGAAATTTTATACATTAAATGGCGTAAGATTAAAAAATAGATGAAAGTTAAAATATCATGCTACAAAAATTGGCAAAAGAGCCAGATTGATCTGATTGTGACCTCCTTCAAACGTCCGACATGATACCGACATATTGACAATGAAGGGGTGCTATGTCATTCTTTGAGCAATAATTTGAGCAATGGACAGTGGACACTGATGTAAAAACATTAAAAACATGGGCTTTAAAAACATTACATCAAATTTTTTAATAGATAAATAACTAAAAAGTTAATGATTGTTTTACGGAGCACAGATTTGAAGTCTCTCACTACTGCAGCTATTGATAAGAATGAATAATTCCATTCAAATAAGGCTACAATAAACTGACAGCTATAATTAGCAAAATTGCTTTCATAAAAATTTAATTTAAAAATTATAAACCTTAGACCAGACTGCAGTAACCGGATTGTATACGGAAACTTTACAAGTGAACATAGTCTCAATCGATTGTCCACCGACCAAATACAAACAGTTGTCAACCGCGCAGGCTTTATATTTAAGCAAATGGCGATACGGTCCCTTTCTACTTGATTGATTGAACTTGAAGTGTTCTGTATCAATGACGTTTGTTTGAATAGTGCCCGGAGCATGTGCTATAAATGACGAGTCTTCAGTTCGTTTTGAAAAGACATTCTCAGCTCAAGGAACAACGCATTTCAGGCATTCGTAGTTTAGCTTTTAACAAAGGGTTCTTACCAATCATGTGAATTTAATTTAAGTTTACAGCAGCTGTAGTAGCAGAAGCAACCGCAGATGTAGTAGAGGTAGTTGTAGTGGTAACAGCTTTATAGAACTAAAAATCATATTGTACTTTTGTACATATTTTTTAACGGCGCCTGTAAATAAATAACCATACCCCGAATTTAAAATAACATTCATTCAATGAAACATTTTTATCACAATTATTCAAAATACTATCACGTTACTTTGAATATTTTAAATTTGTCCAATCACAAAGTCAATATTAATCACTCACGTTAAAAATGCAACAAAGATCTCACAAGTATCTTTTGCTTATTTAAAATTTCAATCATATCCATTTCAAAATCTAATGTTTCAATATCATTAAATTTTCTGTGGATAAATTTTATACTATTTTTTATATAGAAGACAATCCATCCTCCTATACTAGATGTTTTATTTACATCTAGCATGTTATATTCTGGGATTGAAGCAAATGTTGCATTTTCAGGTTTAAGCCAAGTTTCGGTGAAAGAAATTACGTCAAAATTAATTTTAATTTTATCTATCAAAATTAAAATATTATCTAGTATATTAATTTTGCTTCTACAACTGAAATTTAGAATTCTAATGTTTCTATATGAAATTGAATTACTTAGTTTTTTTGTTTTTTTCAGGTGTGTGTAGCATACATTTTTCCAAAGAATTGATAAAGGTGTATAGAAGGGTATCGATTGCAATGTTGTCATCATCTATTATATATTAATTATATTAATCATTTTAATGACTCTTTCAATTCTTTTGCTAGTTTTTTAATATCTTAATGGGTTACTTTTAAAATCCTCCATCGATAAACATAAAAATAAAAAAAAAATTTGGTTGTTGTGAGTTTTTGCAGCCGAAATTATCAAAATTGCCATGCATTTATCACTTTAATAAAGCAATTCATTTTCTTGATTGTATGAAATTTTGAAACGTGTTAAATATTTTTTTGAAACTTTAAATGGTTTTAAAGATTCAAAATGAACGATAATGTTCTTTTTAAATTTATCTAATTTTGAATGTTATAACCATTACAATCTAAATTTTTCAGTTTTCAACATGGACTGTCAGTGTGTGCGTGTGTGTGTTGTGTGGTGTGAAGTGTTAGATTTAAAGGTTAAAAGGAGGCACCTCGTTGTGAGCAGTATTTTTTATTATAAGTTTGTAAATGTGATTGTTTTAACTGAAAAACTGTAAAAAACCATCGATCCAAAAAATGACGTGATAGCTGAAAAAAAAAATAAAAAGGTCGCCGTCAAAATTTAAACAATTTAAAAATTTTTGCTAACCTCGTCAAACTTGTATAGATCCGACACAGTGTGTGTGTGTTGTGTGAGCAAAATCTTCATAATTCAGAAAATGCAATATGCTAGTTAGATGAGAATTTAAAAATTGAGACAATTTCTAAAAAATAATTCGTAACGTTCTTTTAATAATAGTAGTTAACAATTACAAATTAACAACAAACCAGTGTAAAAAAACTAAAAAATTAAAATTTTTTTGAAAATAAAAAAAATTCTTTAAGCGAATATCACCTTCCTGACCCCGAGTAAATCCTGCAATTTACTTCCTGGTATCAACAATCCTTGTACTCTCTACATGTGTCTCACTAGTAACAGGCAGTTGTCCATCTGTGTTGATCCTCAAGCTTCGTTACAAACTCATTCTACAAAATTTTTAAACAAAATTTTCATCGAATGTCAACCGGTTGCTGGTATATAGTTTAAATAAAAGTTATTGGCTCGACATGATATAAAAATCAACTGCTCATTTTTGGTGATTTCAATGTCCGATTTGGCACTGACCACACGCTATGGAGTTGAAAAAGAAAATTCAAACGGAAATATGCTGCTCGAGTTCTGTACGGAGCATGATTTGTAGGTGAAAAACGTTCAACAAAAAGAACACCAGGTGGAAACATCCATTTTCATTCCACTGGCATTTTAGCAACTGCAACCATAACAAAATGACAAGACTTTTGTCTTGCTTGTTTAACCAAAGCATTTTGTGAAATTAAATGTGGTCAGATCAACGTCAGACGACTACAAGCAAAATCAGAGATGTATAATGGCTATTGTGCTTTGGTTGCACATTCACAAAGTAAAGTTCAACTTTTTTTTAATCGTTGTTATGCAGCAGCGAAAAAATTTGAACCTACATTAAGTTTAAAAAAAACAGTGGCTTTACATCAAAACTACCTAATCTTATCTGACTCAACGGCTACAGTATCAGCAGGTGGTTTGCAGTTGAATGATGTCAATAGATTTTGTTATCGTGGCAGTTACATCTTAAATACCACTGCCATAGACAGTGATATCACAGCCAGGCTTGCAATGACTGGCGCCGAATTTGGGGAACTGGTTAGACTTTTCTGAAAAAAGTATGGGGTATCTCTGGCAGTCCGAAAACCGTTGTACTGACTACTTTGCTATAAGATTGTGAAATATGGACGGAACCGACGCGACATACGAAAGTTCGATCAATTCGACAAGAAATGTCTTCGAGCTTTTGCTCACATCAAATGGATAAAAAGAGTGTCAGATGTCATGGTATTGAAGAGTTGTAGTACTATGTACATTGAGGCACTGCTGTTCCAGGTCCAGTTTAGTTAGTCAAGGCACGTCGTCCGCATACTAGATTCAGAAATTTAAAAACAGGTTTTTTTGGACAGCTGGCCTCCTCTTGCAAGTAGTTCGGTTCGTAGGTTTAAGGACAGTCTTAAAGAAAACTTAAAAAAGTGTGAACTGGATCCTAAAATATTTTGCTATAAAGTTCAGCAGCGTACGGAATGGAGATCAAAAATCTCAGGCGGCGCTTTCCGTTTTGGAACAGGCACAAATCGCAGCTCTAGCTGATAAAAGGAAACGGCGAATAGAGGTGGCCCTGGATGGATGCGACACAGGAGTGTGAGTCTGTGGAACTTGTTATCGTTGATTATTGTCTATAATTGGGCTTTTTGCTCCCCTGAAATCATATCAATAACTCAGGTCTTCGTTCGCAAAATTTAAAATGAGACATGCCAATTGCCGTCAACGAAACAGTTACGTTGAATTTTACAACGTTTGCTAACTCAACTCCTGTTAGATTGTCATTCAGCAGAGGATTGATGGATCGCAGAACTTCAATCAAAATTGGAACGTTTACAAGGTATATAATTGGGAAATGATTTTTTAAATTGCACGTTACAAAGTTTATTTGCACGATTCAGATGATTAATAGATAAATAGTTGTTCAAATATCACGTACATTTTCAGTCAGGATTTGGAACTTACGACAAAAACTTCTGGTTGGGCTTAGAGAAAACACACCAATCAACGACATCGGCTGATTACAGATTGAGGTTTGAAGTGCTTATCAAAGGCGTTTGATTATTTTAAAGTTTAAGATATGATCATTTTATGGTTTGCAGATATTAAAAATACTACAGATAAATTTAGGGTCTGTGAAGACAAGGCGGATATTTTAAACTCTCCATCATCCCTTACTGTCTGCAGTGGGATAAAATTTTCAACTCCCGATCAAGATAACGATAAGCAAGCTACAATTAATTGTGCATCGCAACATTCAGCGAAAAATTGGTTCAAGAGCTGCAACTATCAAACTTGAATAGCGTGTATGGCACAATTTTTTTTAATTACACACTTTCTCGCCCCACCTACAGTAGGTTGATGATGAAGTCTCACAAGTAAGAAGCATATATTGCTTATTTCATATCATGTATTCATTATTCATATTATATATTCATTAGTCGTATCAAATATTCAATTTTCCAAGATGATTCAATTTAATTCAATTGTTTGGTGCAATCTAATAGTTAATAAACTTTTCATAATTTTTATATCAACTATACTTTTTGCAAGTTGAAATTTGTGCCTCGTGTGTTGATTTTTTGCTTTCAAGTTTTTAAATTTATAAAATTAACTGAAATAAGTGAAGATTGATATGTCGATCTTTCGAGAAACTTCATGTACGGGCACTAGCTGATATTTTGTGACAATAACTTCATATTGTAGCAAGCCATTCACATCAAATATGTTCCTATAATGGTTAAATTGGGCATTTTGTATTATGATTTTTTACATTATAAATATTTATTCACAAAAGAAAATGAAATAAATGAAGAATAAAAAAAGATGAATAACCTTCAGTAATTTATGTCATGGTAATTCATGTATAATATGGGGGTCCCGTCGGTGTTTGAAGTAATTTTTTTTGTTAGATATCTTACCGCAAGATGTCTCAGAATTTGTGAAATTGTATGCAGGTCAAAAAAATATATAAACGTGTTAAGATTGGATGTTGTTCTGAGGGCTCTACCCTTCTTTGAATTTTGGGAAATTTGGTGTTTGCGACTTCAAACAAAAATTAAAAAAATGCAATAATCATACTTGAAATAAATTTTATTATAAAAATTAATATTATAAAACACATTAAATGAAATAAAATCAATATCAATTGAAAACACTCAAAATTAAAATTTATTTCCAAAATGTTGTTGTTCTCCACATTTTATTTTATTTATAATTAAACCGTCTCTTGAACTAGCATCAATCACCTCACATCCTACAAAATTTCCGTTACTAGTTTATTACATCTTTCTAGAGATTGTGTGCGGCAGAGAAAGTTGTCATCTTGTAATGTTCTATATTTCATCATGACTTTAAATGTTCTATCCTTCATCCAAACTTTTAATGTTCAATCCTGGCTTCATGGTCCTTGTTCGAAATATCTTGAAGAACAGGCGGTATTGAAACCCGACACTCGTGCCGCACAATAACTTTTGTGTAATCTTCAGCAGAAAAGTTGGGTTTGGAAGTTTTTCTATCCTTTGTTCAATGCCTCTTTGATCTGCTCTTCAAAAAGCCAATTTTCAAATATGCTCTCCATCATCAAACAACATGACAAACATTTCTTTTATAACCATATTTACAATAGACTTCAAATTGTTTGGTAAAAACTGGAGTATATCAAATTCCATCCTTAAAAAAATTTTTTTAATTGAAAACGACATTAGAACGTAAATTTTAGCGACCTGATTGAAAAGCAATTACAAGTTTTCTGATCGATTAAGAGTACTTATTCTTCCAATTTGACGGTTTGCCAGCTCAGAGCTACAATGTCCAGTTGATATTGCATAACATTTTATAGAAATATTTCTGTAATACAGTAAAAGTCCTCTAGAGCCGGACCCTAAAGAACGGACAGATAAGAGTAACGGACAGTATTGCTTGGCACGGAACCGTTTTGCATGTTAAATAGACCCTAAAGAACGGACATTTCAAAGGAACGAACTACGGACAGGGTTTTAAGTACAAATTGACTTTTATGTCTTAAAGAGCGGACAATTTATAACAAAAACACATGGAATATTTGATAAAATGCGCCATCTAATTTGAATATCTGTATTTATTCTATTCTATGGAATGTGCTAAAGAAACTTTGATAATCTTTGGTTATTTAAAAAAAATTATTTTCGCTCTTTGATTTTTTATCGCGGTCGTGTTGATAAACTGTTGTGTAATAATGGATGATTGGAATTCATAAGATTACATCTGGATTCTTACCTGAAAATATATTCAGTGCAGATGAGACATAATACTTAGGAAATAATTTAGATTGAGACTTATACATGAACGTGCAAATTTTAAAAATTATTTTATTATTTTATAGGTAGCCATTGCAAGAGAACAAATTATGGAGATATATGAGAAAAGAAAGGGGCACGAGCAACAAGACGAGCAGCAGAGTTAAAAGCTTTACTTAAAGGATAGAGTATAGAGTCAGGAAGGATTGCGGGATAATGATTTGCGGGAGGACAGGGAAACATGGTTATCTTATTTAGAAAAATTTAAATTCTATTGTGAGCCAACACAAAAGGAACTTTACGACGTAAAGTTTCAAAAAATAAAAAGATAATTCAACAAAAATGGATTCAACTGAACTCAAGCAATAATTTAAAAAAAATTCAAAAGCTCCTTTCAGAAAAAATTAAAACACTCACTAAAAACGTTGAAATTTCTAAAATCATTAAATAAATCGTTATCAATAATAAGTGACAGAATAAAAGTTTGATACGGATTGCCAGACCGGAGTGAGTATTCCTACAAGACATCAGACGTTTGACATACACTGTATCAAATTGATCAATCATTGTATTAACTATTATTAACGTTCAGCCGTAGTGTTTTACTCGTAAGTTCTTCATACAGTTCGTATCTAAATTCGTGTTTTCCTTTCTTCGTACTTAAGTTTTAGCAGCCATGCAGCAGAAAATTAGGGATGCAGCAGTGAAACGTGTTTTCAAACACGCTTCATCTGTAGTTACTGATGGTGCAGCGGTAAACACAGACGATAAAATTGGTTTTTGAAAATTGTTTGAGGAAAATGTAGAATCTGTTGATGACAGCTTAAAGTGTTGTGCGGCGTCCATAGATCAAATCTAGTATGAAACTCTACATGTAGCAGCGTTAGTGAAGTCGAACAAACATTTCATAAATTAAATTACAACTTTTGCCTAATGTCACTGCTAAAACTCTTTGACGTTCGCTGAACGCAGTTCAATTTTAACATGTTGAATGCCGTGCATTGAGCTAGATGAAGAAACATTGCGCAGTGCTGAACTATTTGAAGCCCTGGCGGCTTTGACACTCAGAGAATTTGAAGTCAATAAAAAAATCCAGTTCATCAGTCACCACTGAGAACGAGTACTTGTATGTTTACCATAACATGCCGCCTTTAGGCGATTGGGACCCTCGACCTTCTATTCTGCTGTGGTTGAATCGGACCGTACACAAAGTATAAAGTACACCAAAAGCAAAGGAGCAGGTTTTGGTTCCACGGAATATTTTCTCAATCGACAGAACAGTACGAGACAGGCGATGAAATATTGGATGAAGATAGAAGCCAAACCAGAAGAGGAAAATGTGACACTTTCTACTTTCTATTCATTTTAAATAATTTTATTACATAATTACACTATCATTTTAATACGCAGATAAATTTAAGATTCAAAAAATGTTTTTATTGAAGAAAAATAATAAAATTTAATTACTTTTTAACTGTCTATAAAGCTTCAGTGATTCTATGAAAACCATATGCATATGTGCAGCATATAATATTTTTTGTTGCTTCAAGCTAAAATAACTCGTTTGTGGTCGCAGTGAGTGCTTGAGTGTAGGTAACTGTAAGTACGAATTATTGGCTACATTTTTTGTTTTATTACTGCCCACAACTTTACATTTTGACTGCCCAGGGGGCTTTTTCTCACAGACCAAATACGTTTTGGGTCCAGCTGCCAAATACAGTAAAATCTTCTCAAATGATACTTATCATGTGATAGTAAAATATTTTGCTTCAAAAACGAAATCAGACGTTCAATGATAATTTCTGTAAAAGGAATGATGAGTTTATAAACAGTGGCTTTTCAATTTTTTCTCAGATGATTCTTAATTGTTGCAGTAGTTTTGTAAATAATTATTTTTTGAAGAAAAAAAGGAATCCAAGAAAATTATTTCAAAATAATTTTTTTAAATAACAGTAGTAAGAAAAATTCAAAGAGGAATAATTAAAAAAAAATTCCCCTCTGCAGAACTTTGTGTAAAGTCATTTTGAAGTTTTTGAAGGAAAGAATATGAATTCAAAATTTAGGCGTAAATATTTAACTGAACTTTTTTTTAAAGTTTATTTTTAAAATGTTGAGAAAAACAAGTTACTAAAAAAAAGAATTTTGAAATTTAAAAAAAAAAATGTGTCATTTATGTTTATGAAAAAAAACCACACAACTTTTTTAATTAACGAGTTGAACTTGTAAACAATTTTTTGCGACAAACGATGTTCCTCTCATTCTACGAACACGCAAGAGGAGGGAAGATGTTCCACGTCCTACGTTGAATTTTTATGACGTCATCATTGCGTCATATCTTCCTGGTCAAATGAACTATTCATATTAGACAAAAAAACATGTCATCCATCATGCAGCTGTTATTTTATTTTTATCTTTAATTTCATTATTACTATTTTTCATTATTATAAAATAGCTATTTTGTATTGTATCGCAGTGCTGTTTCTTAATATTCAATATCTTTGACGTTACAGTTTTATTGCAACCATGTATACAAGTATACAAACGAGTAACCATACATACATACATAGGCAACAGATGCATACATGGACAAGTTGGTCATGCGTCGCTGATGGTATGCAGTAAATTGTGCTGGTCGAGTCATTTCAGCCTGAAACCGATAAAGTTGCTAAATGCTTTATCAAAATTGAATGTTGGATGTCAAGCAATACCTTAAAATTGAAACAAAACAAAACTCAGATGCTTCCTGTTGGCACATAGCAGCAGTTATCAAAGTTTGAGGTAAACTCGGTCAGGTTTGATGATGTTGAGGTCCAATTCGTTCCGCGGCCTTAAACTTCGATGTATGGATGGACAGCGGACTTTCGATGAAGGAACAGATAAATCGTTTTCAATTGCTAGTATGATTCAGCTTAGACGATTATATAAGATTCGACACTGTTTGAACATATTGGCTTGGATTCCATGCACTTATTACGTCGATGCTAGATTACTGCAATAGTCATTATTTCAAACTACCGAGAAGATCAATGGCTACACTTCAGTTGGTCCAAAATCAGGCGGCAAGACTTGTCACGAAAAGGCAGGGGTTTGAACGTGTGACTCCAATCTTGAACGAGCTACATTGGTTGAAAATCGACAAGACGATATTTTTTAAAAATGTCTGATAATGTTTAAATCCGTACATGGTTTGGCGACGAATTATTTGTCACGTGGGTTCATCAAGAAAACGTCTGACTCGCACTTGAGATCGAATTAAATGAACTTGCTGTTTGTACCAGCTACATATCTGCAGATTGCATCACGGAACATTTTTGATTTGATAGAGTTTGAACCCGGTTAACACACAATGCAAGACAAACAAGGTGGCACTCTTACCTTTTAAGCTAACTTATTCGGATAGAGTTCAATGAACGTGCAAATGATAAAACGTTAACTGTTTTTTTACTCACATCCACACAGATTACTGTTTGAAATTTTATGGACTTTTTTCTTAATTTGTAGAAAAAATTTTCGTTTGAAAAATTTTTGAGGCAGAAATAAACTTTTATTTTCCTCGATGTAGGTGTTCTCAATATATCAATTCATATTATTTCCTTTTAATCTTTTTAAATGTATTTTTGGCACAATTTATTTTCCTCGATGTAGGTAAATTTGTTCTCAATATATCAATCCATATTATTTCCTTTTAATCTTTTTAAATGTATTTTTGGCACAATTTGCGTTTAGTCATTAATTTATTTTTATATTACTTTAATTCTTCTTGTTTTTTTTGTCAGCAAATTGCCATCTTACATTAATCTCATAGCCATCTTGAAGTTGTAACTTTCGCCACTCCCGCAACAACAATCTTGCTGAATTGGTTTTTAATATTTTGTTGGTGATGTTTCTGTCGTTGTATTCGTTTTGTTGCTGTTCCTATTTTAAGTATCAACTTGGTGTTTTTGGTTAATACATTTTATTATGAACTGACTTCTACACAATTAATTTATTATACAATAAACCATTATCAATGGGAAGAAATTATGTAAATTTGGAAGGCGTGGAAGTTGGAACAGCTGTTGCAGTGAACGTGTTTGAGTGTGTGTGCGTATTGTTTGCGTGTATGTATGTATGTATGTATGTGTGTGTGTGTGTGTGTGTGTGTGGTATGTGTGCGTGTTTTGTGTTTGTGTGTGTATGTGGTGGGTTGAATTGCGTGTGTACATATGCTTGTGTTTGTTGGTTGACATCTCCAACAACACCAAACAGATAATTAAATTGTTTGTGGTAATTATACATAATATTTTTCAGGAAACTGATATTATTATGTGGATGAGTATACTTTGTATGTTGTGTTATTATATAGATAGTTCTGGTTCTCTATCTTGATGTTGCGATGAATACCATATCCACATAGGAACAGGGAACTAGCGGATCACTGATGTGGTGCTCGCGATCAAACTCGATTATTGTTAAACGAATGTATAGTGGTGACGAATTAAATTGATGATTTACGCGACTTAGTTATTATGTTAGTTAGTTATATTATATTTCAGCGAATTAAACACAAACTCACCCATTTTAGTTTTACAGATCTTTTTCCAAAACAAGGTGATATATACGAATAAAATAAATGCTATGAATAAAATCTATTTGTATGTCATGAGTCCTATCTGTTGCGTGAGTTCTGTTGTGTCCTTCCCGTCTTGTTCCGTCTCGTCTCTCGAGTAGACTCGTGTGTGTCTTATGTTCTTCTTTCCGTCTCGTCTTGTCTGTCGTGTAGTTCCGTGTGTGTCTTCTGTAGTTTCTCTTTTTTTGCTTTATGCTGCATCTCCTTATATAGGAGAAGGTGCCTGCGCGTTGGCGTTTTAGTTTCACATGCGAAAATGGTTGCATATGGATCTAATTACCTCGTCTGAAATATTCTGCATACTAGTCGTGATGAATTGCGGTCAAGTGTGTCTTTCTCTTATTTAATATTTCTCTGTTTGTGGTTTCGTCTGTGTATGTGTCTGTGTGTATGCTTTTCGCTGCGTGAATATATTCCCTCTGTGGAACAATAAATACGTCAGTCGTGTTTTTATGTGTTTTAGTCTTTGTATGTGTGTATGTGTGTGTGTTGATTGATTTACATGATAACATGATTTTTCACTCTGTTACCGTCATATCATCGTCATCATTATTATCACTATTACACAATTATTAATATTATTACTAATCACATTGTTATTATTATTATGATAGGATATATGATAAAGCTGGTGGAGTCAGGTTCGCTGAAACGATCACTCAAATCGCTGGAAGAGACAAGAATTGCATCCAGCCCTCACCATGTGTTTAATCTCCAATGCCAAAGTTTCTCCCCCACAGAACTCGCTTTGGTCAAATGTCGTCAAAGGATTATCAGTAGTTCTCTATAAGTTTACTAGAAAGTATTTAATACAACAACTTCCCACTAATGCAAACTCATTTAAATGGGGTAAGTCAACAACATTTCTATGTCCACTATGCAATTATCGCCAAACAAACAAACATGTTGTTTCGAACTGTAATTCCACAGCAGCTCTCGCCAGGTACTCGGACGGACAGGCATAACAAACTGCTGTCGTTGATTGTCGACTGGTTAAAGATTTTTGCACCATCAGACTGTTGCATATTTGCCAATCTTAATGCAGAAAACGTACGTCCAATGTCACAGTTGTTCGACAAGTTGCGGCCGGACATTGCCATTTTCCAAAAAAAACAAAATCCAAATTTTAAAGCTTACAATTTGCAACAAAACCAACTTAGCTTCCTCACGTGAATACAAACGCCAAAATATAAAAAAAACTGGAAATTAAACTGAAAATTCAGTCTATAATAACTGTTCGTTAATTATTAATTCATTTGAAATATCACTTGTGGGTTTTTATAACAATTTTAATCTAACTTTGTTTAAAATATTATGGCCGAAATCTTTTAATAAAAAATTGATTAACGCTAACGCGGTAATTCGCTCGTCATATAGCATATATTGTGACAGAAATACTAATTTACCGATTTTAAATAAATTTTTTTACTCTCAAACACTTGTTGATCAAATAGCATGAGGGGATCGTACATTATATTTAACATCTTATTTATTTACACTCTGATAATTATAATATAATATTTATAATATTATTAATAATATTCGATTGATTTCAATTGGATTTCATCTTTTCGGTAAATAAAAAAATACTTACCTACTTACGAGTTACGTATTTAATTTTTTTTAAATAGAATTGATAAACAATTTAAAATATAAAATACAGAAAATTTTTAGTTAAAAAATTTTATTAATTTTTTAAAAATATCTTGTCATTTTTTGATTTTTAAGATTTTTAATATTTGAGATCTGACACTGATAAAAAAATGATACTCCAATGATACCCGAGGAAACCTCAGATGATCCTCAAATGCAGAGCTTATTTTAAAGTTTTTTTTATGGAAAACTCAGTAACAAGATTGTCTGATATTTTATTGATAACCTTATCTTCACACAAAAATAAATAAAAATTATGAATTAAAATATTAATATTTTAAAAATGAAAAAAATGTTTACAAGACTTACAATAAACTATTTACAGGCAAGAGACCATTTACATGAAAAAAATTATTTACATAAAAAAATACATACAGAAATATTTCAAATGTAAAAAAAACTATTTACATATAGTACACTAATTACAAAAAACTAGCTACACGACTTAAGTTCTCTGTGTAAAGACGTAATCATAAATATAAAAATAAAAATTTTGACAATTTTTAAATATTGCGACAATTGAAAAAATTTCTTAAGACGTTCAGATACAAAACAAATGTATCCATTAATAAAATCGATCGATGAAAAATATTTGGCAATCAGCATTCAGTTAAAAAGATCCCGCACCCCGGTAAGGTAGGAGTTGATGAGAGGGGGACTTGAAGGTAGGGCGAGGTCACACCTTAAACTGACACCCCTATGACTCTTGTGCCAAGAAAACGTTAAACTGGACATTTGCGACTGATAATAAAAATTGAAATACAAATAACAATAAATGCATGAAATGTAATTGCTCAACGAAAGATGGTTTGAAGACGCGAGTCTTACAAGCGCACTTTGCAAGGCATGAATGAATGAATCAGCAGAATCACCAGTACAAAATTTGCCGACTGACTCATGCAAACATCACGCACACTCAAATGTTGCATTTAATTTTTCAAGTTGTTTTTTATCTTACATTTAAATTTTTATTAACAGTTTAAACATCTATGTTCGAAAAACTCAACCATGCTCACTCCAACGGGCTCCATCCAATTTGCGTGGGATGATTGTGTTAGATAAAGGTTAAAAGTTAATCTTTCTCTTTTGCGTTTGCTTCAGAGGTTTCAGCGACAAACACACACAGCGTGTATGAATACGCGTGCCAACCACGCATCATACACATTGCATATGATAGGCGTGGATCTCTTTGTGTTCGAACCCAGTCATTGCAATAGCAAGACCAGGCGCCTTTAACCATTGAGCCATCACGCCGTCCTATAAGTCAGATATGAGGGCAAGTTTTCGGGAGATACTCTGGCGTACCTCAGAAATCGTCTCAACAGCTGACCAGAGTTTGTTTTGTTTCTGTTGTTTACTCAGTCATTCATTTGCTTTTCATTCATTCGTTCGTTCATTCGTTCGTTTATTCATTCATTCATTCATTTATTCAATCATTCATTCATTCATTCATTTACAGGCCTACTTGCGTATTCAATAAAAAATTTATCTACAAGATGCTCCATGTCGGACAGTGATGGTGTTTCAGTTGATGAGCTGTGGAGCCTCTCAAGCGGTGGTCGGTGCGTGTCAAATGATGACCGGTACAATAAAGATTGGATGGCAGTGGAGAACATTTCTGACGTTTGGTCACACACATGTGTGCACACACACCACATAAATACAAACACGTACACGCACCAAACACAAATTCACACAAACAAACATTAAACACAATCAAACACGCTAGTGATGATGGCTCGCTTGGCTTACTGGCCAGAAAGAACGATTGTAAGACGCGAGTTTTCCAAAATATCTTTCGTTGAAAACTCACAAAAGCAAACGAGTTGTCAAACGATATTTATATAGAGTTGCGCGTTTAAATAGCGTTACATAAAGTTCCGCAAATATAAAGTGTAAAAATCAACTGTAGAGGCCATATAGTATATAAGAACTTGTGAAGAGAGATTATTTTTGAGCGAGAGTTGAAGCAAATTTGTAATTGTGATTTATGTAGTTACTTTGATTGGTTGTAATACAATGTTTCTGTTACTGTTGGCATTCAACAAAATTTGCGTTTGAAGAATCCATCCATCGGAAATCTTGAACCTACGGAATAACGAGCACTTGACGATCGTTGGAAGCTACAAGACTGCTGTTGAAAATATAGAAATCATTAAAGTTATAACATTAGTGTTAGTTGTTATGAGAGTGATGGGTTACAACAATATAATATTACACATGTTTACTTAAAATCTGCACATGAAATGTTTTGTTTACATGGTACATAAACGTAATATTGATATTTTTTTTATTTATTTATAAACGTTGATCTCTTTAATTATTTTGATTTTATTAAGAAATTAATCAAATCGGCCAATTGGATTGATTGAATTTTATTTTTCAACCATCTGCAACTGCCTTTGAGTAACAATAAAACACATATGTTTTATTTTTGAATGTAGTTATACTAACATTACTTTACCACATAACAAGTTGACAAAATAATTCTATTATTAATTTTATTTTCAACTGTTTTCTTTTTTGTTTATTTATATTAGAATTGTTTACTTTCAACTCAAGTTCGATTGAAGTTATTTAGAAAGATCATTTGACTTTAATTTTTTTCATTTTACAACTGTTTGAAACTTTTTTCATTTCAGTGCTTACAGCAATTTTCACCAACCAAAACGTTTGAACAATGATGTTTATGCACGACTTTTGTAGATATGATTTAAATAAATAATCTCTTTTACATTTACTATGCACTTTCCAAATTTATAATTTTTGGTTTACCAAGAAATTAATAATTATAGTTATTTTGACTGTTTTTGAATTGGTCAGATCTACATATGGCTGAAGTGAACGAGAATATAATGGGAAAAGCTAAATCTTGGATATCTGGAAGATATAAGCGGGACGCTAATGGTGACATAGAATTTGAAATCTTGTAACATTTTTAGATGTTTTAGTATTTATAAACTCTGAATTATGTTGTAAAAAACAATAATAAATCAAATATAGAAAATTTATAACATTTTTTGAAAGAGTAATTTTAAATAATTATTTTTATTTTAAAAATCTCTATAAATTGAGATAAAAGAGGCCATCCCACAGTTAATGCAAATTAAGGGGAATGAGATTTTACTCAAGACTTTGTCTATATCAATTCTCTTTTTATTGATGTTTATTGCGTGTGTGAATAAATAAATAATTAGGCACATTTGCAGAAACGGGGAAGATTATTTTCCATGAAGATCCTAATTTCGCGGCAAAGGTGGTCTGCATATGTTTCGGAATTGGAGTGGGGATTGTCTTTGTTGCGTGCCTCTTTTTTTGGTGCTGCGGTAAATTTTCTATTGAAAATATTTAATTTTTAAACTAAAATTTACTTAAAAATATTTTTATAGTTTACTTTGCTATGCTGAAATTATTACACTCAATTCAACTTTATTTTTCAAACAACCAACTCAATTTTTAAAAATAAAAACAAAAAAATTAGTTATAACATTTGGGTGAGTGAATTAATAATGATACCTAAAGCATTAAAAAGTTTTGTAATCTGAAGAAATAAGACAATGATAATAAAAAGTGTTATTAAAAATTTGACAATTCAAATTTTACTTATTTATAATTAAAATGCTGAAAATTCCATAGCGCACTAAACGTATTTTAACTATCACTTTTACTGAAATTAACTTTATTTAAAAACTCTGCTTGGCACGTTTGCAGATGAAAAAGTGGAAGACAAAGTAGCAAGGCGAAGGAGAGCAATAAAGATAGCTGAAGGTATTATTAATATTAGTAAAAAAACTGCATTATTAGTAAAGAACATTTTTAATTGTAATATTATTTTATAATAATAAGAAAAAAGTCACGATAATAATTTTAATTAAAAATAATTCGTTCGTTTTTTTCAAAATTTGTCACTCAACAAGTTAAAACAGAACTTTTTAAACTATTAATTAAATTTTTAGAAAAAGCAGCTAGTTTGGTTGTTGAACCACCGTTGGAAGCAACTTGGGAGGAAGACAAATCAGGAAAGAAACGTCTGTTGTCATATGGCTCACCTGCCAAAAGCAGTAGTTTGCGTAAAAAACGACAAAATCAAAATCAGAATAGGAAACCAGATGGAATAGATGGAAACGAAAGGAGGAAATCCAAAAATTCAAGAGGCAAGCGTAGAAGCTCAAGTCGCTCAAAACAGAAAGTCAGCTGCCAAAAACAACGACTGCCGGAGAAAACTGAAAAATCAGGTAAGTGTGTGTGTGTGTGTTTGTTTGTGTGTGTTTGTTTGTGTGTGCGTTCGCAGTCGGCAGATACAGCAAGCTTGTTGACATTTACGGAATGTTAACATTATTGTTAACACTATTATAATTTACTAGTTATATTTTAAATTTTAACACATTTATATTTTAATTTAATGATTAAAATACACGCAAAACATTTCAACCTAGCTGTTATTTAAATTTATGTGCCAACGTCTGAAAGCACTGAAGAAAACCTTAATGCTCTTTACAATGATCTTGATGATGCTGTGAAAACATGAAAATCTTAAAAAGTTGTTATTATTATGCGTGAACTGAATGGCTGAGAAAAAGACGAAAAAAGTTGATTGATTGGTGTGTTGCAAATGATTAAATTATTACCAAAACTTGGTTTGACAATCACCAAAGGCAAAAATATACATGCAACAGTTTCAGAGACAACGGAAAAAAATGATTTATAACAGTACTATAAATAAACAATTTTGAAATGCTGTTTTGCATTGCAAAAATATCCTGGAGCTGTTTGTGGCAGTGATCATAACCCAGTTTGTAAAATCAGGATAAAAATAAAATAATTAAGGTGGAGTGGCCCAAAAACGTAGCCAGTCTTACACAGAATGATAAAATCAAGCTCAAGTATAACGTTGAAGTACGGAATAGTTTTCAGTTATTGACGAAAAACGTAAATAAATTTGAATATGAAATATTTAAAGATGCCCTCACAGAATCAGCAAGGGAAGTTATACCTGTGAAAGAAAAAAGAAGAAGTCATAAATGGATAACAGATGACATCGTATTTCTGATGGATGATTTAAGAAAAGTAAAAAGTTGCAATCCTGATAGTTAAAAAAGCTGAACAAAACAATCAAAAATGTGCTTAGAAGCAAACGAGAAATAGTTAAATGACAAATGTTAAATCATTAAAAAGATCAAAAACAGTATTACAAATGAAATATATGAAAATATCAAAGAAATAACTATAAAAATCTTTGTACCGTTCCTGAATGCATAAAAGCTAAATCGATGAAGTAATCTCAGAGAAAAAAAAAATAACTGAAAAATGGACTTAATATATTAACGATATTTTCAATGGTATCTGTTGTAAAAATCATCCTATTAAAAAAGACTTAGAAGAGCCAAAGATACTTAGATTTGAAGTTCGTTATGTTTTTCCAAAATGAAATCAAATAAAGCGCTAGGTCCAGATGAGATAGTTGTTAAAAAATTTAAATGCTTTGATGATGTTGGCATTGAAAAAGTTACAGAAATTTTGAATGAGATTTATAACAGCGGTGCCATTCTAGAAGATCTATCCAAGTCAATACTTATTGCATTTCCTAAAAAACTTAATGCAACGTAATGTGAACTACATCAAATAATCAACTTCATAGGTCATCTTACAAAACTTTTTTTGAAAATTCTGATGAGGACAGCACAAAGCTAAATCAGATCTAAAATTTCAAATGTCCAATTCTCCATAATTATTAACGGTAAACAGTCAACAGCTTCAATTATCTTGGATGTTTGACATCAGACCTTAAAATTAAAATCAACAAAATATTTAGAAAATCTAATAATCATAACCCTGACGATTCTAGCCATATATTCACTGGCGAGCACTTACCGGGTTATCTATAAGGAAACATAAAGACCCACAAAGACAATAATCTCCGCCGAATTATCAGCCAGATCCCAACTGTCACTTATCCTATCGCCAAATATCTCAACAAAATATTGTCACCATACGCTCCAAATAACTACAATCTACAATCATCTGGAGAATTTATTAATATAATTAGCAAAAACAATCCTACCAAACACATAGCCTCACTTGAAGCAGTATCCCCATTCACACATGCAGCCGTTTTCGACATAATTGATATCATCCTTAACACGGTATACAACTTAGGGTACTCTTCGCCAATTTCTAAGTTGGCAACTTAGAAAAACAAACGTTCCTCAAAAATCTTGAAGTAAAACGCCAATTTTGTGCAAGAAACGTCGACAATATTTTTGTCACGTAAGACAACCCTGACCAAATTATAAATCTCTAGTGCACGGAAAAATACAAACGAAGCACAATAAAAGCATTTGTAAATAGAGCATTCAAATAACATAACTGTTTATGTTATGTTAAAAACATGTTACAACATGCCCACTCTGCCGTTCCCCATCCCTCCTCACCATCTACACCACGATCAGGGCTACCAGGGAGGAAGTCAGTTATTTGGTAGAACAACACTTCCTATGCCCATTCATTCAGCCGCCTGAACGCCAAATAACATACAGCCCTAGAGTCATCGAACACTTTCTCAACATCATGAGGTGCAACGTGCCTATTAATCAGATGTTTGCTCCAGATAAATTGTTGGATGCTGTGCAACAAATTTATGATTACGTCTTTACACAGAGAACTTAAGTCGTGTAGTTAGTTTTTTTGTAATTAATGTACTATATGTAAATAGTTTTTCTACATTTGAAATATTTCTGTACGTATTTTTTTATGTAAATAATTTTTTGCATGTAAATAGTCTTTTGCCTATAAATAGTTTATTGTAAGTCCTGTAAACACTTTTTCATTTTTCATATTGATATTTTAATTCATAATTTTTATTTTATTCAGTGTGAAAATGAGGTTATCAATAAAACATCAGCCAATTTTGTTACTGAGTTTTTCATAAAAAAAAGCCTTAAAATAATTTCTGCATTTGAGGATCATCTGAGGTTTCCTCGGGTATCATTCGAGTATCGTTTTTTTATCAGCGTCAGATTTATTAGTTGGGCATCTGAAAAAACAAATAATGACAAGATATTTAAAAACATGGTTAGAACTTTTAAACTTAAAATTTTTTGTAATTAATATTTTAAATAGGAGGAAGTTAGTTATTCAAAAGAACAACACTTCCTTTGCCCGCTCATTGATCCGACAGAACACCAAATAACATACAGTTCTCAAGTCATTGAGCTGTTTCTCAACATCATGAGGTGCAATGTGCCCATAGATCAGATGTTTCTACCAGACAAGTTGTTGAGTGTAATGCAATACATTTATGACTACTTCTTCACACAGCAAACTTGAGTTGTGTAAATATGTATATATATATATATATATATATATAAATATATATATATATATATATATATATATATATATATTTGACATTTTTTTTATTTCATCGAAACAAAACAAAGAAATCAAAGAAATGATATCAATGAAAAGAAATGATCTGGAAATCGAAAAGAAAATATGGTTTTCTTGTAATGATTACCAGTGACAATTGTAAAAATGAAAGCATATTTCAAATATTTTAGTGCATGTAAACTCACATTCATATTACAAATCCTAAAAAACCAAAAATGGAATAATAATTAAGTAATCAACTCTTTTACATTTTTATCAGAATGTCGTTTGTAATTATTGAAACACAAATATATATATAGACCCATGTAAAACATACTTATTCACACACATATATATATATATATATAAACACACACGTACACACACACACGTACATGAACCCACACAAAAAGTTAAGGGGGTTCAAATGTTTAAAAGTAAGATTTGATGTCTTTTTTAAATTTTACAACGGATTTAGCTTCTTTCAAATATTCAGGTAATTTGTTCCACGTCTTAGGTCCGACGACTCTTATGCTACTATTGATAAGTTTCAATCTGTTTTTATCAATATAAAATGCTGAGGTATGTCTTGTGTGTTTTAACTGGATTGAGTTACTATAAATAAACAAATTATTAAAATTTTTTGGAATTAAGTTGTTAATAAGTTTAAATATAAATATTGAGATGCATGTGTAATAAATTTGTTTTAATGAAAGTAGTTTAGCAATCTGAAAATAATTAAAGGTGTGGTCATTAAATTTTAAATCGAATAAAATCAATATCAGTTGCAAGTGGAACATCATCAATAGTGACAACCCTAACAACAACATCAACAACATCAACAACAACAACAGCATCAACAATAACAACAACAACAGTGCCAACACTGTAGATACCAACGCCACAACCCACAGCGCAAATATCACTTGCAAATGGAACATCATCACAAGAAGCAAGAAGAACCACAGCGATGATAATAATAACGTTAA